TGAAAAAATAATTTTTAAAAAATTCACGTCTATTGAAATCATGAAAAAATAATTTTTAAAAACTCCACGTCTACTAAAAAGATGAAAAAATAATTTTTAAAAACTCCATGTCTACTAAAAAGATGAAAAAATATTTTTAAAAAATCCACGATTATTGAAATCTTGGAAAAATAATTTTTAAAAAATCCACGTTTATTGAAATCTTGGAAAAATAATTTTTAAAAAATCCACGTTTATTGGAATATTAAAAAGATATTTTTTTAAAAATAACGTGGAAATCATGAAAAAATAATTTTTAAAAAAATCCACGTTTATTGAAATCATGAAATAATAATTTTTAAAAAATTCACGTTTATTGAAATCTTGAAAAAGTAATTTTTAAAAAATCCGTGTTTATTGAAATCTTGGAAAAATAATTATTAAAAAATCCACGTTTATTGGAATATTAAAAAAATAATTTTTAAAAAATCCACATTTATAGAAATCTTGGAAAAATAATTTCAAAAAAATCCACGTCTATTAAAATCATGAAAAAATAATTTTTAAAAAATCCACATTTATAGAAATCTTGGAAAAATAATTTCAAAAAAATCCACGTCTATTAAAATCATGAAAAAATAATTTTTAAAAAATCCACGTCTACTAAAATCATGAAAAAATAATTTTTAAAAAATCCACGTCTACTAAAATCATGAAAAAATAATTTTTAAAAAATCCACGTCAACTAAAATCATGAAAAAATAACTTATAAAAAGTCCACGTCTACTAAAATCATGAAAAAATAATTTTTAAAAAAATCCACGTCTACTAAAATCATGAAAAAAAAAATTCTAAGAAATCCACGTCTACTAAAATCATGAAAAATAATTTTTCAAAAATCCACGTATACTAAAATCATGAAAAATAATTTCTAAGAAATCCACGTCTACTAAAATCATGAAAAAATAATTTTTAAAAAATCCACGTTTAGTGAAATCTTGGAAATAAATTTTTAAAAAATCCACGTCTACTAAAATCATGAAAAAATAATTTTTAAAAAAACCACGTTTACTAAAATCATGAAAAAGAAAAACTTTTAAAAAATCCACCTCTACTAAAATCATGAGAATAAATTTTTATAAAATCCACGTCTACTAAAATCATGGAAAAGAAAAACTTTTAAAAAATCCAAGTTTATTGAAATCATGAACAAATATTTTTTTTAAAGATCCTCGTTTGTTGGTAGTTTGAAAAAATATTTTTTAAAAAATCCACGTTAATTGAAATATTAAAAAAATATTTTTTTTAAAAATCCACGTTTATTGAAATCTTTGAAAAATATTTTTTAAAAAATCCACGTTTATTGAAATCTTGGAAAAATATTTTTTAAAAAATCCACGTTTATTGAAATCTTGGAAAAATATTTTTAAAAAATCCACGTTTATTGAAATCTTGGAAAAATATTTTTTTAAAAATCCACGTTTTTTTGAAATCTTGAAAAAATAATTTTTAAGACATTCGCATATATTGGAATCTTAAAAAAATAATTTTTAGAAAATCCACGTTTATTGAAATCATGAAAAAATAATTTTTAAAAAATCCACGTTTATTGAAATCATGAAATAATAATTTTTAAAAAATTCACGTTTATTGAAATCTTGAAAAAATAATTTTTAAAAAATCCGTGTTTATTGAAATCTTGGAAAAATAATTTTTAAAAAATCCACGTTTAGTGGAATATTAAAAAGATATTTTTTTAAAAATCCACGTTTATTGAAATCATGAAAAAATAATTTTTAAAAAATCCACGTTTATTGAAATCATGAAATAATAATTTTTAAAAAATTCACGTTTATTGAAATCTTGAAAAAATAATTTTTAAAAAATCCACGTCTACTAAAAAGATGAAAAAATAATTTTTAAAAAATTCACGTCTATTGAAATCATGAAAAAATAATTTTTAAAAACTCCACGTCTACTAAAAAGATGAAAAAATAATTTTTAAAAACTCCACGTCTACTAAAAAGATGAAAAAATAATTTTTAAAAACTCCACGTTTCTTGGAATCTTGAAAAAAAAAATATAAAAAAATTCACGTTTATTGGAATCTTGAAAAAAAATAATTTTTAAAAAATCCACGTTTACTGAAATCTTAGAAAAATAATTTTTAAAAAATCCACGTTTATGGGAATCTTAAAAAAATAATTTTTAAAAAATCCACGTTTATGGTAATCTTAAAAAAAATAATTTAAATAAAACACGTTTATGAAAATCTTAAAAAAAAATAATTTTTAAAAAATCCACGTTAATTGTTTCATTGAAAAATATATTTTTTTAAAAATCCACTTTAATTTTTTCATTGAAAAATATAGTTTTTAAAAAAACAACGTTAATTGTTTCATTGAGAAAAAATAATTTTTAAAAATCCTCGTTAATTGTTTCATTGAAAAAAAAAATAATTTTTAAAAAATCCACGTTTATTGTTTCATTGAAAAAAATATTTTTAAAAAATCCACGTTTATTGCAACATTGGAAAAATAATTTTTAAAAAGTCCACGTTAATTGTTTCATTGAAAAAAATATTTTTAAAAAATCCACGTTCATTGAAATCACGAAAAAATAATTTTTAAAAAATCCACGTTCATTGAAATCACGAAAAAATAATTTTTAAAAAATCCACGTTTATTGAAATCTTGGAAAAATAATTTTTTAAAAATCCTCGATTTTTGAAATGTTGGAAAAATAATTTTTAAAAAATCCACGTTTACTGAAATCTTGGAAAAATAATTTTTTAAAAAATCCACATTTAATTAAATCGATAAAAAAAAATTAAAAAAAAAAGTCCTTGAAGACAAATTCCTTAAATTATTTACCTTTCACTCAAACTTCCCTGCAAATTTCTTTAAAATTCAACACAACACTCTTCATTCAATTTGTATACCAAGTGAATACCACGTGTCGCAACTCAAACCCCCACCTCAAATCACCCCTTCCCTCTCTTCGACCAAAAAATAAACTTGAAGAAGCCTTCAACTTCAATCGACGACCTTTTTTAATTACCCCACGAAAAACACGAGAAAAACAAAAAAAAAAAATCCCCAGAGATTCTTCGAACATTAGTCTTTATTTGTTGTTGGGCCAACAACAATTTCTTTTTCTTCTTCGCTAAACACTGCCTAAGGACAAAATTTGCAGTTGAAGAGTGGCTGTGAATTTTTTCACCGTGTTATCCTTTTAATGAATTAACATATCGAAAAATAGACTGGCGTTGAAAGTTGATAACGGCGAATGCCATACTCCGGCATTCAGATACCCAAAATTAGATTTTGTGGCAAATTTTTGGGCAAAGAAGAGAAAAGTAACTGGTGGTGAGAAGTTTTTAAGACACACATGTCTGACCCTGTCCCTTGGTGTGTGCAACTTTTTTTTCGGAAGTTTGGTAAAAGGCTTCGGGTAAGAATTAAAAAAAAAGATCTTAAAGAGGAATTTATTTGTGGGAGGATATTTGTGGGAGGATAAGAACCAGAAAACCAAGAAAAAATCCACGTTTGGTGGCCTCTAAAAATTCTTTAAAAAATCCACGTTTTCTGGTCTTTGGGCGACCTTTAAAAATTCTTTAAAAAATCCACGTTTTCTGGTCTTTGGGCGACCTTTAAAAATTCTTTAAAAAATCCACGTTTTCTGGTCTTTAGGTGGCCTCTAAAAGTTCTTTAAAAAATCCACGTTTTCTGGTCTTTAGGTGGCCTCTAAAAATTCTTTAAAAAATCCACGTTTTCTGGTCTTTAGGTGGCCTCTAAAAATTATTTAAAAATTCCACGTTTTCAGGTCTTTAGGTGACCTCTAAAAATTCTTTAAAAAATCCACGTTTTCTGGTCTTTAGGTGGCCTCTAAAAATTATTTAAAAAATCCACGTTTTATGGGTTGTAGGTGGCCTCTAAAAATTATTTAAAAAATCCACGTTTCCTGGCCTTTAGAGGGTCTTTGAAAATTCTTTAAAAAATCCACGTTTTCTGGCCTTTAGAGGGTCTTTAAAAATTCTTTTAAAAATACACGTTTCCTGGCCTTTAGAGGGTCTTTGAAATTTCTTTAAAAATCCATGTTTTCTGGTCTTTAGGTGGCCTCTAAAAATTCTTTAAAAATTCCACGTTTTCAGGTCTTTAGGTGGCCTCTAAAAATTATTTAAAAATTCCACGTTTTCAGGTCTTTAGGTGACCTCTAAAAATTCTTTAAAAAATCCACGTTTTCTGGTCTTTAGGTGGCCTCTAAAAATTATTTAAAAAATCCACGTTTTATGGGTTGTAGGTGGCCTCTAAAAATTATTTAAAAAATCCACGTTTCCTGGCCTTTAGAGGGTCTTTGAAAATTCTTTAAAAAATCCACGTTTTCTGGCCTTTAGAGGGTCTTTAAAAATTCTTTTAAAAATCCACGTTTCCTGGCCTTTAGAGGGTCTTTGAAAATTCTTTAAAAAATCTATGTTTCCTGGCCTTTAGAGGGTCTTTGAAAATTCTTTAAAAAAATCATGTTTCCTGGCCTTTAGAGGACCTTTGAAAATTCGTTAAAAATCCACGTTTTCTGGTCTTTAGGTAGCCTCTAAAATTCTTTAAAAAATCCACGTTTTCTGGTCTTTAGGTGGCATCTAAAAATTCTTTAAAAAATCCACGTTTTCTGGTCTTTAGGTGGCCTCTAAAAATTCTTTAAAAAATCCACGTTTTCTGGTCTTTAGGTGGCCTCTAAAAATTCTTTAAAAAATCCACGTTTCCTGGTCTTTAGGTGGCCTTCAAAAATTATTTAAAAAATCTACGTTTTCTGGTCCTTGTGTGGCCTCTAAAAATTTTATAAAAAATCCACGTTTTCTTGTCTTTAGATGGCCTTTGAAAATCCTGAAAAAAATTCAAGTTTGTTGGCCTCTAAAAATTATTTAAAAATTCCACGTTTGATGACCTCTAAAAATTCTTTAAAAAATTCACGTTTGTTGGCCTCTAAAGGTCTTTACAGGCTCTGTTACAGGTCTTTATATTTTTTTATTTTTTTAATAACTTTACAATCTTCTTTTAATTTTTCGAATTTTATTTCGTTCCTAAAACCAAGGCCTCTCCAGCCTCTAGAGCAATCTTATCAAGATTCACAGGAATTCCGGCATATTTCTTTGAGTCCAGACTGCTGATTTTTACATTCATCGACGAAGGCAGGGTGGTATCGAAATTTTCCAATGCATTTACGCTATAGGATCCCTCACCGAAATTGGCCACGAATAGCAGGGTTTCCTCTCCCGCTAAGTACCTAAAAATTAGAAAAATAAATAATTTTTGGAAAATAAATAAAATAACCCCCTCCCACCTTTTCAGCACAAAAACCCCATCATTGAGGGCCTTATATTTATAGGCTCCCTGTTGCAGGGTCTTTGAGGCCCTCCTTAACTGCACCAAGTCCTTGTAGATTTTCAAATGCGACTTATTCGCCGCCAATTCCATTTCCACATTGACCGTCTTATAGTCCCCGGCCAAGGGTAGCCATGTCTTGTTTCCCTCCGAAAAGCCGGCATTTTTCGCCGATCTCCATTGGAAGGGGGTGCGACAGGGATCACGTGTGAGATTCTCAAAAATCTCAGGATTAGAGTTACAGGCTGCCGGATCCACAGTGTCCTCCCAAGATATCACGCCATCAGTCATGCCTAGCTCCTCGCCCTGATAGGTGACACTGGCCCCGGGCAGCATCATTACCAACATATTCATGGCATCAATGTTATGTTGGCCATAACGGCTGGATGCCCTGCGCCTATCATGATTACCAATCACCCAATTGGCAGTGCCCCCAGCAGGCATTTTTGTTAGCCAATCATCGACCGCCTTTTGAACATCTCCTGCTGTGAAGCCGGTATCCACTTCGGTAATTAAATTAAAATTGAATGGCAACTCTGCTCCTTTGGTGGTAGAGTTGCCATACATTTGCATGGTATACCACATGGGGGCATAGGTTTCGATGAGTAGAACCCTCGTCTCACCACCATGTATCCTTTGATAATCATCCATCACCTGGCGCCATTGATAGATCATGTCAATGGACTCGGGTTGCAGATCCACCTTTTCCATTTTCAAGTAATTCCTGTCCTCCTTGTCATCGGTCAGACCACTTACCTCCTCGTCGGGATAGATGCCATTCTCATCTGGCTGGGCCTCAAAAAGCAAAGTGGCAGCATCGATGCGAAAACCATCCACCCCCATGTCTAGCCAATATCTGAGGACCCTCTTCATTTGGTCCACCACATCGGGATTGCGATAATTCAGATCGGCTTGCTGTACCGCAAATTGATGGAGATAGTATTGCTGCCGTTGGTCATTCCATTGCCAGGCACTACCACGAAAACCGGACAACCAATTGCTGGGCGGTTGCCTTTGGCCATTTTCATCCACCTTGCCATTGGACCACACATAGTAGTCTTCATAGCCCCGCTCACGATTTACCGACTTCTTGAACCACTCATTTTCAGTACTCGAATGATTGGGTACAAAATCCAAAATGATTTTCAAACCCAATTCCTTGGCCTTGGCAATTAGTTGCCTGAAATCCTCCAGGGTGCCATATTCCGGTTGGATGTCAAAAAAGTTGGAAATGTCATAACCAAAGTCCACCATAGGCGAGGTATAGATGGGCGATAGCCAGGCCGCCGTCACCCCAATATCTTTGAGATATTGCAATTTTGAAGCAATGCCTTTCAAATCTCCAATGCCATCACCATCGGAATCCATAAAGGATCGGGGATAGATTTGATAAAATTGAGCCGATTGCCACCAATCTTGGGTGACTTCGGAGTTCGTCATTTCCTGACATGATTTCGAAGTTGGCAGTCCCAAGGACAGAAGGCCTATGAGGAGTAGAAAAACGTTTGGCCTTTGTCTTTTCTCCATTTTTACTTTTACCTAATGGGGGTCTGTGTCGCACTTATATATGGCGCCCAAGGGGAAGAAAAAATAAAATAATCTCAAGTTTTGAAATGGAAGAAGTGTGAGTACTAGGAAATCAATGTGTTTTGATGAAGTGATAATGTGACAGCTAATCTGTCTTTAAGTGGTAATTATGGAGTGCCTCCATAACAGAAATCTTGAATGGGAGAGAACCTTGCGCAATAAAAATAAAAATATTAAAAAAAAAAACAAAATAAAAAAATAAACAAATAATAGTTGGCCTCTAAAAAAATCTTGTCTCCTGAGAGCCTCCAAAACTTCTATAAAAATCCTCGATTTCTGGTCTTTAGGGGGCTTCTAAAAATCTGGGATTTCTAGACTCCTGAGAGCCTCCAAAAATTCTATAAAAAATCCTCGATTTCTGGTCTTAGGGGCCTTTAAAAAATCTGGGAATTTTGGTCTCTGCAAAAATTCTATAAAATCCTCTATTTTTGGTCTTTAGGTGGCCTCTAAAAAATCCACGTTTTCTGGTCATTGGGAGGCCTTTAAAAATTATTTAAAAAATCCACGTTTTCTGGTCATTGGGAGGCCTTTAATAATTCTTAAAAAATCTACGTTTTCTGGTCATTGGGAGTCCTTTAAAAATTCTTTAAAAAATCCACATTTTCTGATCATTGGGAGGCCTCTAAAAATTCTTTAAAAAATCCACGTTTTCTGGTCATTGGGAGGCCTTTAAAAATTCTTTAAAAAATCCACGTTTTCTGGTCATTGGGAGGACTTTAAAAATTCTTTAAAAAATCCACGTTTTCTGGTCATTGGGAGGCCTTTAAAAAATCCACATTTTCTGGTCATTGGGAAGCCTCTAAAAATTCTTTAAAAAATCCACATTTTCTGATCTTTGGGTGGCCTCTAAAAATTCTTTAAAAAATCCACGTTTTCTGATCTGTAAGCGGCCTTTAAAAATTCTTTAAGAAATCCACGTTTTCTGATCAGTAGGTGGCCTTTAAAAATTCTTTAAAAATCAACGTTTTCTGGTCCTTCAAAGGCCTTTACAAATCCCTTAAAAAATCCACGTTTTCTGGTCATTGGGAGGCCTTTAAAAATTCTTTAAAAAATCCACGTTTTCTGGTCATTGGGAGGCCTTTAAAAATTCTTTAAAAAATCCACGTTTTCTGGTCATTGGGAGGCCTTTAAAAATTCTTTAAAAAATCCACGTTTTCTGGTCATTGGGAGGCCTTTAAAAATTCTTTAAAAAATCCACGTTTTCTGGGCTTTAGATGGCCTCTAAAAATTCTTTAAAAAATCCACGTTTTCTGGGCTTTAGATGGCCTCTAAAAATTCTTTAAAAAATCCACGTTTTCTGGTCTTTAGATGGCCTCTAAAAATTCTTTAAAAAATCCACGTTTTCTGGTCTTTAGATGGCCTCTAAAAATTCTTTCAAAAATCCACGTTTTCTGGTCTTTGGGAGGCCTCTAAAAATTCTTTAAAAAATCCGCGTTTTCTGGTCCTTATGTGGCATCTAAAAATTCTTTAAAAAATCCACGTTTTGTGGTCTTTGGGAGGTCTTTAAAAATTCTTTAAAAAAATCCCCTTTTTTGGTCTTTGGGAGGCCCATAAAAATTCTTTAAAAATCCACGTTTTCTGGTCTTTAGTTGGCCTTAAAAAAATTCTTTAAAAATCCACGTTTTCTGGTCTTTAGGTGGCCTCCAAAAATTCTTTAAAAAATCTACGTTTTCTGGTCTTTAGGTGGCCTCTAAAAATTCTTTAAAAAATCCACGTTTTCTGGTCATTGGGAGGCTTTTAAAATTCTTTAAAAAATCCACGTTTTCTGGTCCTTAACTGGCCTCTAAAAATTCTTTAAAAAATCCACGTTTTCTGGTGGCCTCTAAAAATTCTTTAAAAAATCCACGTTTTCTGGTGGCCTCTAAAAATTCTTTAAAAAATCCACGTTTTCTGGTGGCCTCTAAAAATTCTTTAAAAAATCCACGTTTTCTTGTAGTTGGGAGGCTTCTAAAAATTCTTTAAAAAATCCACGTTTTCTGGTCATTGGGAGGCTTTTAAAATTCTTTAAAAAATCCACGTTTTCTGGTCCTTAACTGGCCTCTAAAAATTCTTTAAAAAATCCACGTTTTCTGGTCCTTAACTGGCCTCTAAAAATTCTTTAAAAAATCCACCTTTTCTGGTCTTTGGGAGGCCTCTAAAAATTCACTGAAAAACCCCACGTTATATGGTCCTTAGCTAGCCTCTAAAAATTCTTAAAGAAATCTACGTCTTCTGGTCTTTGGGAGGCCTCTAAAAATTCTTTAAAAAAATCCACGTTTCTGGTCTTTGGCTCTGGTCTTTCTGGTCTGGCCTCTACAAATTCTTTAACAAATCCACGTTTCCAGGTCTTTAGGTTGCCTCTAAAAATTCTTTAAAAAATCCACCAGATCTGAGTTGTAGGTGACCTCTAAAAATTCTTAAAAAAATCACATTTCTGATCTGTAGGTGGCTTCTAAAAATTCTTTAAAAAATCCACGTTTTCTGGTCTTTAAAGTACCTTTGAAAATTTTTAAAAAATCGAAGTTTTCTGGTCATTGGGAGGCCTCCAAAAATTCAATAAAAAATCCACGTTTTGTGGTCTTTAGGTGGCCTCTAAAAATTCTTTAAAAAATCCACGTTTTGCGGTCTTTAGGTGGCCTCTAAAAATTCTTTAAAAAATCCACCAGATCTGAGTTGTAGGTGGCCCCTAAAAATTCTTTAAAAATCCACGTTTTGTGGTCCAAAATTCTTAAAAAAATCCACGTTTTCTGGTCTTTGGGAGGCCTCTAAAAATTCTTGTCAAAATCCACTTTTTCTGGTCTTTGGGAGGCCTCTAAAAATGATAATAATATCCGTATTTCCTGGTCTTAATGCGGTCTCAAAAAAATTCTTTAAAAAATCAACATTTCGTGGCCTCTAAAAATTCTTTAAAAAATCCACGTTGGGCGCCACGAAAAAATCTTTAAAAAACACAAGTTGGGCGACTCTTTATTTTTTTTTTCGTATTTTTTGCTCCTCCCTCATGCGATTTTTTTATTTGCCCAGATATTTTGTTAAGCGTTCTGCCATTGTTTGCCATAAACTTCAGCTGGCTGTGAGAGGATTTATCGGGTTTTCAATGGCAATTATCTGAAATGATAATTCAAAATCAAATAGCATGTCATTTCGAAATTCACTCCACATGGAAGTGAAGGTTATAAAAACCCCCTTCAGAGGTGGCGAGAAGCGTTAGTCTAATAAAAATGTTCCAACGATTGGTGGTGCGCTATATCATCGCCGCGCTGCTGGCATTGATGGCTGGGCCATCCCAGCAATGCAAGGATCCCACTGTAGCCGAGGTGACCAAAGAATGGTGGCAAACGGCCCAATTTTATCAAATCTACCCCAGATCCTTTAAGGATTCCGATGGTGATGGCATTGGTGATTTGAAGGGCATCACCTCCAAACTGGAGTATCTCAAGGATATTGGGGTGACAGCGGCCTGGCTTTCGCCCATTTTTGCCTCACCCATGGTCGATTTCGGCTATGACATCTCCAACTTTTTCGAAATCCAACCAGAGTATGGTACCCTGGATGATTTCCGGGAACTAATTGCCAAGGCCAAGGAATTGGATTTGAAAATAATTTTGGATTTTGTTCCGAATCATTCGAGCAATGAAAGTGAGTGGTTCAAGAAATCGGTGAATCGTGAGCGGGGCTATGAGGATTTTTATGTCTGGGCCAATGCCAAGACAGATGAGAAGGGTCAGAGGCAACCACCCAGTAATTGGCTGCAATCGTTTCGAGGCAGTGCCTGGGAATGGAATGACCAAAGGCAACAATATTATCTTCACCAATTTACGGTCCAACAGCCGGATTTGAATTATCGCAACCCGGCGGTGGTGGAGCAAATGAAGCGGGTCCTCAGATATTGGCTGGATCAGGGTGTGGCTGGTTTTCGCATTGATGCCGTTCCCGTGCTCTTCGAAGTAGAACCCAACGCCGATGGCATTTATCCTGATGAGGAGGTGAGCGGGGTAACCACTGACAAGGAGGATAGGACCTATTTGAAAACCGATCTCATAGAAAATCAACCCGAAACCATTGACATGGTCTATCAGTGGCGTAGGGTAATGGATGACCACCAGAGGATCCATGGAGGTGATACCAGGGTGTTGCTTATCGAAACCTATGCCCCGGCCTGGTTTACCATGCAAATGTACGGCAACTCCAGCACCGAGGGGGCCCATTTGCCCTTCAATTTCAATTTAATAACCGAAGTGGATACCGACTTCACAGCCGCAGATGTGCAAAAAGCTGTCGATGATTGGCTCAGTCAAATGCCCGCCGGGAGGACTGCCAACTGGGTAACCGGTAACCATGATCGCCGTAGGGCAGCCAGCCGTTATGGCCAACGCAATATTGATGCCATGAATATGTTGGTCATGCTCCTACCCGGAGCCAGTGTCACCTATCAGGGCGAGGAGCTGGGCATGACTGACGGGGAAATATCTTGGGAGGACACCGTGGATCCGGCAGCCTGTAATTCCAGTCCCGAAATCTATGAGAAATTTACCCGCGATCCCTGTCGCACACCCTTTCAATGGAGTGCAGAGAAAAATGCCGGCTTTTCGGAGGGCAGCAAGACATGGCTACCGCTGGCCGGAGACTATAAGACGGTTAATGTGGCAATGGAATTGGCGGCAGATAAATCACATTTGAAAATCTACAAGGAGTTGGTGAAGATGAGGAAGACTTCAAAGACCCTGCAGCAGGGAGCATATAAATACAAAGCCCTCGATGAGGGGGTGTTTGTGCTGAAGAGGTGGATGGAAATTCAGAGAATTTTTTTTTTGGAAAATTGTTAATTTTTTCAATTTTTATTTCAGATACTTGTCGGGAGAAGACACCCTCGTTTTGGTGGCCAACTTTGGTGAGGCCACCAAAAATGCAAATTTATTGGATAATTTCGACTCTACCCTGCCCACATCCATGAGCGTGGTATTGAGCAGCTCAAATTCCAACAAATATTCGGGTATACCCATATCGGCGAAATTGTTGTCTTTGGAGGCAGGAGAAGCCCTGGTATTGAAGGGAAATTAATTTTGGGATGAACTAAAGCATTTTAAGGGAAATACATTAAAAAATAGAAATAAATTTTTTTAAGAATTTTTAGAGACCACCTAAAGGCCAGAAAATGTGGATTTTTTAAAGAATTTTTAGAGCCCACCTAAAAACCAGAAAACGTGGATTTTTTAAAGAATTTTTAGAGGCCACCTAAAGACCAGAAAACGTGGATTTTTTAAAGAATTTTTAGAGGCCACCTAAAGACCAGAAAACGTGGATTTTTTAAAGAATTTTAAGAGGCCTTCGAAAGACCAGAAAACGTTGATTTTTTAAAGAATTTTTAGAGGCCACCTAAAGACCAGAAAACGTGGATTTTTTAAAGAATTTTTAGAGGCCACCTAAAGACCAGAAAACGTGGATTTTTTAAAGAATTTTTAGAGGCCACCTAAAGACCAGAAAACGTGGATTTTTTAAAGAATTTTTAGAGGCCTCTTATGGACTAGAAAACGTGGATTTTTTAAAGAATTTTTAGAGGCCTCTTTTGGACCAGAAAACGTGGATTTTTTAAAGAATTTTTAGAGGCCTCTTTTGGACCAGAAAACGTGGATTTTTTAAAGAATTTTTAGAGGCCTCTTTTGGACCAGAAAACGTGGATTTTTTAAAGAATTTTTAGAGGCCTCTTTTGGACCAGAAAACGTGGATTTTTTAAAGAATTTTTAGAGGCCTCTTTTGGACCAGAAAACGTGGATTTTTTATAGAATATTTATAGGCCTCTTTTGGACCAGAAAACGTGAATTTTTTAAATAATTTTTTGAAGCCACTTAAAGACCACTAAACGTGGATTTTTTAAAGAATTTTTAGAGGCCTCCCAAAGACCAGAAAACGTGGATTTTTTAAAGAATTTTTAGAGGCCTCTCAAAGACCTGAAAACGTGGATTTTTTAAAGAATTTTTAGAGGCCACTAACGACCAGAAAACGTGGACTTTTTAAAGAATTTTTAGAGGCCACCTAACGACCAGAAAACGTGGACTTTTTAAAGAATTTTTAGAGGCCACAAAAAGTGAATTTTATAAAGAATTTTTAGAGGCCACCTTAATACCACAAAACTTGGATTTTTTAAAAAATTTTTAGAGTCCACCTAAAGACCGCAAGACGTGGATTTTTTAAAGAATTTTTAGAGGCCACCTAAGGACCAAAAAATTTGAATTTTTATAGAATTTTTAGAGGCCTTTAAAAGTTGATTTTTTATAGAATTTTTAGAGGCCTTTAAAAGTTGATTTTTTAAAGAATTTTTAGAGTCCACCTAATGACCACAAAATGTGGATTTTTTATAGAATTTTTAGAGGCCGCCTAAAGACCAGAAAGCGTTGATTTTTTAAATAATTTTTAGAGGCCACCTAAAGACCGCAAGACGTGGATTTTTTTAAAGAATTTTTAGAGGCCAGAAAACGTGGATTTTTTAAAGAATTGTTAGAGGCCAGAAAACGTGGATTTTTTAAATAATTTTTAGAGGCCACCTAAAGACCGCAAGACGTGGATTTTTTTAAAGAATTTTTAGAGGCCACCTAAAGACCGCAAGACGTGGATTTTTTTAAAGAATTTTTAGAGGCCACCTAAAGACCGCAAGACGTGGATTTTTTTAAAGAATTTTTAGAGGCCACCTAAAGACCGCAAGACGTGGATTTTTTTAAAGAATTTTTAGAGGCCAGAAAACATGGATTTTTTAAGAAATTTTTAGAGTCCACCAAACGTAGATTTTTTTAAAGAATTTTTAGAGTCCACCAAACGTGGATTTTTTTAAGAATTTTTAGATTTTTAAAGAATTTTTAGAGTCCACCAAAAGTGGATTTTTATAGACGAAGTTTTTTCGCAGCTTTCAAGGGAATTTTTATGATTTTTTCTTACCTTTTCCAATTTTTTTCCCCAAAATTAAAAATCATATTTTTTATATTTTTGTGAATACATTCATTTTGTTTTTATTTATTTATTTCAATATTAAATTTCTTTATTATATAATATCTTAGAGATGTTGTTTTTTTTGTTTCTTATAGTTTATGTATTTCATTTTATTTTTTTTTAATATTATTTTTATTTATTTATTTATGTTTTTTTATTTGTTCACATTATTCATATTCGGTCTCACACATTTCACAATACTTATTTATGTATAAATACGAGCTCTTATAGCTAACATGAAATGTAAATAAATATTTGTTTTTTGTTTTTTTTTTTTATACACACGAATATACATACATATATGTGTCTCTCTCTCTATATATAAGTAAACCTATTATCGAATTAGTTACTCGGGTATTTAATTTTTTTAAATCAATTTTGTTATACACATTAACAATAGCTATTATAACAATATCAATTTGTCGTTCATATGTGTTTGTTTGTTTTTTTTATTTTTTTTTTTAATTAAATTTAATTAATAAATATATTTTATTAAATATTCGTTATGCGTTTTCTGTACTATTGGTTGTTGCGCAGTGATTTTTTTGTTTGGTAGTTTTTATTTATTTAATTTATTTTTAATTTTTTTTCGAATATTTTTTTTTGAAAATTTAAAACTATTTTGATTCTTTTTTGTTTGGAAATTTAGAGTATACATGGTGTGAAAATTATTTATTTTTTTTAAATATATTTTGTTATATATTTTTTATAACTGGTTAGACTCCTGTGAGTTTATGTACAATTTTATAGTTATTTTTCCTAATAATAATTTTTATTTTTATATATTTAACCTCATTTGCATTGAAATTTCGCTTAGCTTTTATGTATAAGCCTTTATAAAAAATTATAATTTAGATATTTTTTTAATTTATTAAAAAAATCTATTTAACCCAACCAACATTTTTTTGTAAGCCTATATAATCATATATTTAGTAAAGATTTATTTTTTTACACATTATTATCTATATAGAGAAAAAAAATTTAAATATTTTTTATATACATTTGAAAACAATATTTTGTTATGGAAGATCTTGGAAAATAATATTTTTTCTTGTTCGGGATAACTTACAAAAAAAAAAAAAAAAAAAAAAAAAAAAAACAAAACAAAACAAAAAAAATAATAATAATTTTTTTTAATTTAAATAAAATAATATATATAGTGTTGTGAAATAAAAATTATTTTTTTTTAATTTTTTATTTAATTATAATTTTTTTTTTTGAAAAAAAAAAAACTTGAAATAGTTTTGAGAATTTTAATATAATATTTTTAGGCTCTATTACAGTGGCACAATATTTAACATTTAACAATTTTATTAATTTTTTATATTATTTACATTGTATTTATTTAGTTATATACAAAAAATTAATTTAATATTTTTGTTTTTTGGAAGTGTTATAGTTTTGATATTGAGCTATGTTGTTGTTTTTTTTTTTCAAAAATTTAAATACAGTAGCTTCCTTTTATTGTTTCATTAACAATTTTATTCATTATGTTACCGGGCTCATAAGTAACACAACAAATTAAATTGTCAATTTTTTAAACTAAAAAAATAAATAAGTAAAAAAATTCAAAAATCGATTTTCATGGACCTCTTAGGGCTCTAAAGACCAAAACCAAAAAGAGATTAGAAAACATGAATTTTTAGATACCCTAAAATATGTTTTAAGGCTACCTCAGAACCAGAAAACTGGAAATTTTCAAGCCGCCTTCAAGGCCGGAAAATGTGGATTTGTTACTGAAAAAAAATTAAAAGGTCAGAAAACGCGGATCTTTTTAAGAATTTTTAAAGGCCACCTAAAGACCAGAAAATGTGGATCTTTTTAAGAATTTTTAAAGGCCATCTAAAGACCAGAAAATGTGGATTTTTTTAAAAGAATTTTTGAAGGCCATCTAAAGACCAAAAAAACGTGGATTTAAAAAAAATGTAGAGGCCACCTAAAGACCAGAAAAAGTGGATTTTTTAAAGAATTTTTAGAAGCCACCTAAAGACCAGAAAACGTGGATTTTTTTAAAAAATGTCTAAAGACTCCTCCAAGTCAAGATTTCATGGATTTGTGATAATAATAGTAAAGCCTCCTTCAAAACCAGAAAACGTGAATTTTTTAAAGAATTTTTTAGGCCACCAAAAGTGGATTTTATAAGGAATTTTTAGAGGTCATCGAACGCGGATTTTTAAAAAAATTTTAGAGGTCACTTAAGGACCGCAAAATGTGGATTTTTTTTAAGAATTTTTAGAGGACACCTAAAGACTAGAAAACGTGGATTTTATAAAGAATTTTTAAAGGTCGCCTAAAGATCAGAAAACGTAGATTTTTTTAAAGATTTTTTAGAGGCCAGCTAAGGACCAGAAAAGGAGGATTTTTTAAAGAATTTTTAGAGGTCAGCTAAGGATCAGAAAACGTGGATTTTTTAAAGAATTTTAAGAGGTTTCATAGAGGCCATCAAGAGTGGATATTTTATAAAATTTTTAGAGGCCACCTAAAGACCAAATGTCTAGAAATTTTTTTTGGATTTTTAAGGGCCACCAAACGTGGATTTTTTTAAAGAATTTTTAGAGGCTATCAATCTTGGATTTTCAAAGAATTTTTGGAGGCTATGAAACGTGGATTTTCAAAGAATTTTTAGAGGCTATCAAACTTGGATTTTCAAAGAATTTTTGGAGGCTATGAAACGTGGATTTTCAAAGAATTTTTAGAGGCTATCAAACTTGGATTTTCAAAGAATTTTTGGAGGCTATGAAACGTGGATTTTCAAAGAATTTGTAGAAGCCACCTAAAGACCAGAAAATGTGGATTTTCAAAGAATTTTTAGGGGTCATCTAAAGACTAGAAAACGAGGATTTTCAAAGAATTTTTAGAGGCCACCTAAAGACCAGAAAACGTGGATTATTTGGAGAATTTTTAAAGGCCACCAAACGTGGATTTTGTAGAGAATTTTTAAACTTGGATTTTTTAAGCATGGTTAGAGGCCAGAAAAGTGGATTTATTAAAGAATTTTTAGAGGCCATCTAAGGACTAGAAAAAATGGATTTTTTAAAGATTTTTTTAAGGTCACCTGAAGACCAGAAAAAGCGTTTTTTTTTAAAGAATCTTTAAGGTCTCCTGAAGACCAGAAAACGTGGATTTTTTAAAGAATTTTTAGAAGCCTCCTAAAGACCACAAAACATGGATTTTTTTTAAAGAATTTTTAGAGGCCAGTTAAAGACCACAAAACGTGGATTTTTAAAGAATTTTTAGAGGCCACCTACAACCCAGAAAACGGGGATTTTTTTAAGAATTTTTAGAGGCCAAAAATCAGAAAACGGGGATTTTTAAAATAATTTTTAAGGGCCACCTACAACCCAGAAAACGTGGATTTTTTAAAGAATTTTTAGAAGCCTCCTAAAGACCACAAAACATGGATTTTTTTTAAAGAATTTTTAGAGGCCAGTTAAAGACCACAAAACGTGGATTTTTAAAGAATTTTTAGAGGCCACCTACAACCCAGAAAACGGGGATTTTTTTAAGAATTTTTAGAGGCCAAAAATCAGAAAACGGGGATTTTTAAAATAATTTTTAAGGGCCACCTACAACCCAGAAAACGGGGATTTTTTAAAGAATTTGTAAAGAAAATTTCAACACTAGATTGAAAATATTTTGTAACATTTTTTTGAACATTTTGGCGTTCAAAAATGTTTTTTTAATAGTTTCTAAGGCTTCCGATAGACCAGAAAATATAAATTTTTTTTGGTTTTATAAGAGACTCCCTTGAGACCAGAATATGTGAGTATTCATGACACCTCTAGAGATAAAAAATATGGGTTTCTAAAGAACTTTAGAGACCCAAAAACGTGGGTACATTCAGGAATTTTAAAAGCCTACTTCGAGACCAGCAAACATTGATTTTTTATAGAATTGTTAAGGCTTTCTTCAACATTTATTGAAGCCTCTTTCAATACCAGAAAAGTTAAATGTTTTTAGGCCCTTTTTAAGATCAGCAAAATGTGGAATTATAAGACCTTCTTCAAGAGCAAACAATGTGGATTTTCTAAAGAACTTTTGGAGGCTTCCAAAAATTTTTTTCTATAGGTTTAAGACCAGAAAAATTGTATATTTTAAAAAAACTTTTGCAGGCTTCTTAAATATTTTTCTATAGGTTTATGTTCTCGTTTGGGGTCTCTAAAATTGTAAAACGTTTTAATTTTAAAAAATATTTTGAAGTCTTTCTTAAAGCCCGAATCTTGGCTTTTTATAGAGGAAAAAATTGAAAAATTGTTTTTTTTTTTTAAATTATTCAAGGTTTTCTAGGTATCTGAAATTGGAGATTTTAAAAAGAATTTTTCGAAAATCTCTTATGAAGAATATTTTCCTTCTTAACTACTTTTCAAGCTTCTTTGTTATATTTTTAAAAGATATTTTTAAGGTCTTAAATCTGATATAAAAAATATTACTTTTCATATTCATTTTAAATATTTTCTAGAGGCCGCCCAAAGACCAAAAAAGTTGGATTTTTTCTTATAAATCTTTTGAGGTTCTCTAGGCACCAGGAAATTTTGATTTTGAAAAAAATTATGAGGGTCTTTGAAGTAGTGGATAACTAATTTTTTAGAGAAAATTGGAAGTCCCCATCTAGGCCTCCATAAGACAAGAAATATTGGTATTTTTTAGTAATTTTAGAAGGCTTCCTGAGGACCAGAAACTGTATTTTTCCAAATGTTTTTTTTTTTTGAAATCCGTAGTGACCACAAAAAATGGATTTAACGATTTTTTTGCTTGGTTTTTTTTTTTAAATTTTAGGAGGCCACCTAATTGCCAGAAAGGTTGGATTTTTCTTACAATTTGATTTTGAAGATTTTGCAAAAGATTTTATGAGGCTCTTTGAGGTAGTGAACTTCTATTTTTTGGAGAATATTGTAAGACTCCTTCTAACCCAAAATCTAGGCCTCCATAAGACCAGAAATATTTGTATTTTTTAGTAATTTTAGAAGGCTTCCTGAGGACCAGAAACTGTATTTTTTTCAATTATTTTTTTTTTTAAATCCTTAGTGACCACAAAATATGGATTTAATGATTTTTTTGCTCCCTAGAGTCCAGAAATTAAAAATAAAATACAATTAAATTTGATATAAAAATATTATTTTTTTTTTGTTAATTTAAAAAAAATATTTTTTTAAAAATGTAATTTTTAAATATTTTTTTTCATGGAATTTTGAATAACAAAAAAAAAAAAAAAAAAAAAAATATGGATTTAACGATTTTTTTGCTCCCTAGAGACCAGATAAGCAGAAATTAAAAATTAAATAAAATTAAATTTGATATAAAAAATATTAATTTTTTTGTTAATTTAAAATATATTTTTTTTTTAATTAATGTAATTTTTAAATATTTTTTCATGGAATTTTGATTAACAAAAAAAAAAAAAAAAAAAAAAAAATATTAAATTTTTATTTCATTATGGAAGCATTATTCTATTGTTCCAGAACACGAAACTTATCTAAAGTATTTACATGTTTTTCTTCGGTCTATCTAATTTTTGGGTGAAAAAAAAAACTTAGTTTGGTTCGAACATATATTGAAATTACACTTCATAATTATATATTGTTTATATAATTTTTGTTTACTTTTTTTTTTAATTTATATTTAATTTAATTTTAAAAAAATATTTTTTTAAAGCAGTCACATTACATTTTATATATATTTACATGATTATTTATTTGGAAAATTTCGGAGGGGAGAGTGGCCAGGAAATAGATTCGTTAAAAATGGGTATTTTTGTTAAGAAAAAAATTTTCGAAATTTTTTAAATTTATGTTTCTGACGGAAAAAAAATCCAACGAAGAGCATGGGAAAATAATTTCGTATTTTTATTTATTTTTTTTATTTTTTATCAATTAAAAAAATTATATATTTTTGTTCTTTAAATAGACGTTAATAGCCACTCTCTTCATTCCAAATTTTTTCTTCGTTTACTTCCTTTTACATTCTTCTGTTTCCTTTTCCTGTTTACATTGGCCAATAGATTAGTTCGTTTTCAGCGAATACGTATCTTCTTCTTATTATTTGTACGTAGTTGTAGTAGTTTGTTTGTGTGTGTTTTCTCATTTTTTTATTTTGTTTCTCCTCTCTTGGTTTTTTGCTGTTTGTTTATTATCCTAGCCTAAGTCCTTGTGGTATTTTCTTACAACATTCCTATGTTTTTGTTCGGTTTTTTATTTTCCTCTATTTTTCTCTCTTTCTTATTCCCCCCTACTCCTATACAGGTATGGCGCAACGTTTTTTGCCCGTACTACTTTCACGACTTAGAGGAGGATTAAGAGGACTTACATTATTGTTACTGGATTGTGAACCTCCCTTGGTGGAGCCATTGCGTGAGCATGACGAGAGGCTGCCGCCGCTGCCGGCAGGCTTAGGACCAGCACCACTGCTGGCTGTTGTCCTACCACACTCCCCCGCTGTGGCAGTATTTCCATTTTCCGTTGCCCCCCTGACCAAATTATCCGAAGACTTTGAATTGGCCAAAGGCTCTTTGTTGCCAGCAACATGTTGCTCACTAATCTCTGAGTTGCTGAGAGCATTGTTGCCAGCAACATGTTGCTCAACATTCATGGAGTTGCTTAGAATGGCAGCAGCTGCTGCCAAGGTGGCTGATGGAGTGGCTGGTGCTTCGCCATAATAGTTTCCGCACAAAGGCTATAAACTTGTTGTCAGCACTGGGCCGACTTTGTGCGTTGTTGTTGTTGTCGTTTCGTTGCATTTGGGCGCCATTGTCGTTGTAGTTTGAGGCATAGATGCCACCACATGATTCGCAGCGGGCGTGCTCACCGCCACCCCATTGAGGCCACTTGAAATGACACCGGCCGCCGCACAATGTTGTTGTTGATTGATTTTGTTGTTATTCGCCACCACCTGGGCCTCATGGCCGCGCACCAGGTCCATGGCTGTCACAGCACTATTTGCATGCTCATGCTGCTCCAGCACCTCCTGCTTGTCGTTGTGATTGTGTGTATTGTGATTATTTGGCACATACTGATCCGCATAGGGTATCTGCTGATATCTACCGCTATCCAAATTCGTAAATATGCTCGACGATATCGTTATGGTCTGCGTGGCCATTTCACAGAGTTTCTTCTTCTGACTGACACTGCTGTGTTCGGTGTTGGTGGGTGTGATATGTTTTTGGATTTTCTCCTCCTGGGCACAGGTGGCAGCTGTGACCACAGCGGCTGCCATCATCGACGAGGGTCCCGTGTTGGCTGTACGATGCATATGCGAGCGTGGTGGCATCATACTTTGACGTACATTGCGCTCGGGGCGTATGAGGATTATGTAGAGCTGGAAGAAGGAGAAAGGAGGAGGAGAAAAGGAGAAATATTAGAGAGTTCGAGAAATAGAGAGAAAATTAAAAATCATATTTTTGAATATCAAGGTAGGATTTTTTTTGGAGGACATCTCCTGACGTCTATTTTTTATAGATTTTTTTTCTAAGGATTTTCAACCTACGTGGTTTTTAAAGTAATTTTTTCCTAAAGATCTCGGAAGCTGATTTTTTTAAAGAAGAATTTTTTCAGAGAACTTGCCTGGCGTCGATTTTTGAAAGATTATTTTTTTCCCAAGGACCCTAATCCACGTGATTTTTAAGGAGCTTTTCCCGATGATCTCCGATGTTTTTATTTTTCAAATTCCGCGGATTTTTTTATGAGACCTTGCTTTACCTCGATTTTTCAAAGAATTTATTTTTTTAAGGACCTTTAATCCACGTGGCGTTTTTAAGGAGTTGTTTTCCACGGATCTCTGAACGTGTTTTTTTAAACAATATTTTTCAAAGTTTAACGGATTTTTTTCTAAAACCTTGGCTGACGTCGATTTTTTGAAATAATATTTTTTCCAATGACCCTCAATCCATGTGATTTTGTAAGGAAATATATTCTAAGGATCTTTGAACGTGGAAAGAAATATTTTTCCAAGATCCTCCAATCGGGGAATTGTTGTGGAATATTTTTCAGAGACCTTACCCTACATTGATTTTTGAAAGACTAGTTTTTTCCAAGGTCCTACAATCCACATGATTTTTAAAGTGTATTTTTTCTAAGAATATCTGAACGTGGATTTTTTAAAGAAATTTTTTCCATGTTCCGGAATCGGGAATTTTTTTTGAGGAACCTTGCCTGATGTTGATTTTGAAAGAATATTTTTTCCAAGAACCTTCAATCGCCTTGGGGTTTTAAGGATTTTTTTCCGCGGATCTCTGAACGTGGATATTTTTTTGAAGAAATATTTTTCTAAGTTCCACAAATTGAGGTATTAGTTCAAGGACACTGCCTGACGTCGATTTTTGAAAGAATATTTTTTCAAAGACCTTCAATCCACATAAATTTTTGAGGATTATTTTTCAAGGACCTCTGAAAGTGGATTTTTTTGTAAAAATATTTTTCCAAGATCCACAAATTGAGGATTTTTTATGGAATTTGTTCAGGGATACTATCTGACGTCGTTTTAATAAAAAATATTTTTTTCCAAGGACCTTCAATTTTTTTCTAGAAATCTCTGAACGGGATTTTTTTAAAAAGCAATATTTTTCAAAGTTCCTCGGATTTTTTTCAGAGACCTTGCCTAACGTTGATTTTTGAAAGAATATTTTTTTTCAAGGACCTTCAATATATTATATTTTTTTCAAATATCCGTGAACGTGGATTTTTTAAGGAAATATTTTTCCAAGTTTCGCGATTTGGGAAATTTTTGTGGAATTGTTTTTTTTTTTTTAAACATTTTTCCAAGGACATTTTTGCAAGGATCTCTGAAAGTGACTATTTTTAAAGAAATATTTTTCCATATTCCACGAGTCTGGGAATTTTTGTCGGAGACATTGCCTAATGCCGATTTTTGAAAAAAAAAATTTTCCAACGATCTTCAGCACACGCAAATTTTTAAGGACATTTTCTTCGAGAATTTCTGAACCTGACTATTTTTAAAGAAATATTTTTTCATGTTCCACGTGTCTGGGAATTTTTCTAGGACTTTTGTCAGAGACCTTACTTAACGTCGATTTTTGAAGAATATTTTTATTTCCCAAAGAAATTCATTCCATTTGGTTTTTAAAGGCATTTTTTCCAAGGTCTTCTCTGAACTTTTATTTTTAAAATAACTATTTTGCCAAGATCCACCAATCGGGGATTTTTTATGGAATGTTTTCACGGACAGACATTTTTTGAAAAACGATGTTTATTGAAATCATAAAAAATATTTTTTAAAAAAATTCAATTTTTTCCGAAATCATAAAAAATATTTTTAAAAAATCCACGTTTATTAAAATCTTAAAAAAAAATATTTTTAAAAAATCCACGTTTATTAAAATCTTAAAAAATATTTTTTAACAAATCCAAATTTATTAAAATCTTAAAGAACATATATTTTTAAAAAATCTACGTTTATTAAAATCTTAAAAAATATTTTTTAAAAAATCCACGTTTAAAAAATCTTAAAAAAATATATTTTTTAAAAAATCCACTTTTATTGAAATCTTTTTAAAAAATCCACTTTTATTGAAATCTTGAAAAAAATATTTTTAAAAAAATCCACGTTTATTGAAATCTTGAAAAAAAAATATTTTTAAAAAATCCACGTTTATTGAAATCTTGAAAAAATATTTTTAAAAAATCCACTTTTATTGAAATCTTTTTAAAAAATCCACTTTTATTGAAATCTTGAAAAAAATATTTTTAAAAAAATCCACGTTTATTGAAATCTTGAAAAAAAAATATTTTTAAAAAATCCACGTTTATTGAAATCTTGAAAAAAATATTTTTAAAAAATCCACGTTTATTGAAATCTTAAAAAAATATTTTTTAAAATATCCAAGTTTATTGAAATCTTAAAAAAATATTTTTTAAAAAATCCACGTTCATTGAAATCTTAAAAATACACATTTTAAAAAATCCACATTTATTGAATACTTGAAAAAAAATTAAATTAAATTTTAATTTAATATTTTTTTAAAAAATTCACGTTTGTTGAAGTCTTGAAAAAATATTTTTAAAAAATGCACATTTATTGAAATCTCGAAAAAAAATATTTTTTAAAAAATCCAAAAATATGTTTTAAAAAATTTAAAATCTAAACTAAAATCCTTTTTCATTTCTTTAATACAATTTATTCCCTTAAATATCAAATTATCCAACTTATCGCTTGAAACTATCATTTACCAAAATCCAATTTTCTTAAGGACATTAATTTGATATTCCCAACCATTACCATCCTTCCTTCTCCTTTTTTTCCCAAATACAAAATTTATAGTTTTCCTCCTTTTTTTCTCCTTATTTTTTCAACACCTTATGTTCGATGAGCACGCACACAAATTTATTGGCACAAATACAAGCTAATTATCCTCATAAATTTCGTATTTGTTTTTATCATCCTTCCACCCATCCTTCTACTGAGAAAAAATAGATTTAGGTACCACTTACCTTGGGTGAAAATAAACAGGCTATCGTAACACTGGCCGACAGACTTATGGTCACGGACATCGATGTTATCCTCAATGGTACATGATTCGCTGTCCCAAAGTAGAGGGGCACAAAGGCCAGCCAAATGACACAGGTGGTGTACATGGTGAAACCTGTGGGCGAGAGTGTAAGAGAGACAAAGTAAATACAAATGTAATGAGAGGTAACAAATTTGTTGGATAAATCAACAAAAAAAGAAAAAGGAAAACGAAAATCAATGATAAGGATCATTAGCCACGAGAGGGTGGAGGAGCTGTGGGGCAGATGTAAAGATGGGCAGCAGGTGTTTTGGTAATATAAAAATACAGAAAAAATTAAATAATCGATTTTTGATAAAAAAAATATTTTTAAAAAAATCTACGTTGTTTGGTACTTTGAAAAACTATTTTTTTCAAAAATTAACGTTATTTGGTACTTTGAAAAAAATATTTTTTAAAAAATCCACGTTGTTTGGTACTTTGAAAAAATATTTTTTTTAAAAAATCAACGTTGTTTGGTACTTTGAAAAAATATTTTTTAAAAAATCCACGTTTGTTGTTACTTTGAAGAAATATTTTTTTAAAAAATCCACGATTATTGAATGCTTTGAAAAACATTTTTTTTTTAAATCGACGTTTTGTTAATATTATTTAAAAATATTTTTAAAAAATCCACGTTTGTTGTTATGATGAAAAAATAATTTTTAAAAAATCCACGTTTGTTGTTATGATGAAAAAATAATTTTTAAAAAATCCACGTTTGTTGTTATGATGAAAAAATAATTTTTAAAAAATCCACGTTTGTTGTTATGATGAAAAAATAATTTTTAAAAAATCCACGTTTGTTGTTATGATGAAAAAATAATTTTTAAAAAATCCACGTTTGTTGTTATGATGAAAAAATAATTTTTAAAAAATCCACGTTTGTTGTTATGATGAAAAAATAATTTTTAAAAAATCCACGTTTATTATTTTAATGAAAAAATATTTTTTAAAAAATCCACGTTTATTATTTTAATGAAAAAATATTTTTTAAAAAATCCACGTTTATTATTTTAATGAAAAAATATTTTTTTTTAAAAAATCCACGTTTATTGAATTATTCAAAAAATATTTTTTTTAAAAAATCCACGTTTATTGAATTATTCAAAAAATATATTTTTTAAAAAATCCACGTTTATTGAATTATTCAAAAAATATATTTTTTAAAAAATCCACGTTTATTGTTTAATTGAAAAAATATTTTTTTAAAAAATCCACGTTTATTGAATGAGTCAAAAAATATTTTTTAAAAAATCCACGTTTATTGAATGAGTCAAAAAATATTTTTTAAAAAATCCACGTTTATTGAATGATTCAAAAAATATTTTTTAAAAAATCCACATTTATTGAAAGATTCAAAAAATATTTTTTTAAAAATCCACGTTAACTGAAATCATGAAAAAATATTTTTTAAAAAGTCCACGTTTATTGAAATCATGAAAAAATATTTTTTAAAAAAATCCACGTTTACTGAAATCATGAAAAAATATTTTTTTTAAAAATCCACATTTACTGAAATCATGAAAAAATATTTTTTAAAAAATCCACGTTTATTGAATGATTCAAAAAATATTTTTTTAAAAAATCCACGTTTATTGAAATCATTAAAAAATATTTTTTTTTCAAAAATCCACGTTTATTGAAATCATTAAAAAATATTTTTTTAAAAAATCCACGTTTATTGAAATCATTAAAAAATATTTTTTTTTTTCAAAAATCCACGTTTATTGAAATCATTAAAAAATATTTTTTTTCAAAAATCCACGTTTATTGAAATCATTAAAAAATATTTTTTTTTCAAAAATCCACATTTATTGAAATCATTAAAAAATATTTTTTTTAAAAATCCACGTTTATTGAAATCATTAAAAAATATTTTTTTAAAAATCCACGTTTATTGGAATCATGATTTTTTTAAAAATCCACGTATATTGAATGATTCAAAAAATATTTTTTAAAAAAATCACATTTATTGTTTTATTGAAAAAAAATATATTTTTAAAAATCCACGTATATTGAATGATTCAAAAAATATTTTTTAAAAAATTCACATTTATTGTTTTATTGAAAAAAAATATTTTTTAAAATATCCACGTTTATTGTTTTATTGAAAAAATATTTTTTAAAATATCCACGTTTATTGTTTTATTGAAAAAATATTTTTTTAAAAAATCCGCGTTTATTGAAATCATGAAAAAATATTTTTTAAAAAATCCATGTGTATTGAAATCATGAATTTTTTTTAAATCCCCGTTTATTGAAATCATGAAAATATATTTTTTAAAAAATCCCCGTTTATTGAAATCATGAAAATATATTTTTTAAAAAATCCCCGTTTATTGAAATCATGAAAATATATTTTTTAAAAAATCCACGTTTATTGAATGATTCAAAAAATATTTTTTAAAAAATCCACGTTTATTTAAATAACGAAAAAATATTTAAAAAAAAACCATCCCCTGTGCCATATCTCAGCTAAATTTCTACAGCTCTCTCTCTCTCTCTCTCTCTCTCTCTCTCTTTCCCCTCGCTTCAAAATATCCCTTCATAACGTCCCTTAACTATCCCCGTACTTACCAATATGTTTCGACTCATTAAAAGCTTCCGGTATTTTGCGTGTCAGCACCGCATAGACAGTGCAAACGACAATCAATACAATCGGATAGAAGAAGGCGATGACGTAGGAGGCATCAATGTAAGAGTCACAGACCAAAAGGTTATCCTCGCGTGTCGGATGATGATGCATGGCATGGGAGGGGGCTATTAACATCCAGACGCCATTTATCAATATCTGTCGAAGGGGCGGGGGAATGGCATAAAACCACAGGAAAAGACCAGGAACAGGACATCCGAATGCAGAACCGCAATGATGAGGTTGAGTGGAGAGGGAAGAGAAAGACAAGATTTGAAATTTTAACATTAATTATTTATTTCACAAATACAGGACAGTAACATGAGTTGGGGGAAAGAGGGAGAGTGGAGAGGATTTTTTTTCTCCGTTTTTTCTCCCCTCCTCCCAAAAAATTTTTCCCTTAAACCCATAAATCTTACCTGCACCGATATAAAAAATGAGCAAATCACCAACTGCGATTTGGGACTTATGAACGAGGGACGCTTGGCTGATTGCTTGCCAGCCTTAAAGATGCGTGCAATGCGATTCGTTTTGGTTAGCAGGGCAGCATAGACGACGGTGAAACAAAAGCCCACAGAAAATCTAGAGGAGAAAATGGCATTAAAATTTGAAATCCCTTTTTGTAAAATGTAACACACACACTCATAGTCTCTTCGAAATTTTTTTGGGTAATAAAAAAGTTTTGAATTTTTACAAAAAAGACGTTATCCTTAGTAAGCGAATCCTGTCGTAAATCTGTGATGCTGAGTTTATGACATTAATGCTGGGAGGTTGAAAAAAAAAAAAAACTGGAAAATTTGCAATTTTCTTGAAACATTGTCAGGGAAAAAGAGGACATACAAGGAAGGGAGGTGGGGGAGGTAGACAAGATTTAACCATCCTGCAGCAAAGATGCTCGAAAAAATTCAACAAAGTTATTTTCAAGGATAAATCCTATTCTCCTCATTCGAATTAAAATGCAAGCATTAATATCCGTTTTTATGCCCTCCACCACAGCATGGAGGGTATATTAAATTTGTCATACCATTTGTAAGACCTCGAAATATATATTTTAGAACCCACAAAGTCTCTATATTCTTGATCAGTATAAAATTCCATGTCGATTTAGCGATGTCCGTCCATCTGTCCGTTCGTACGTCCTTCTGTGGAAATCACTCTAGCTTCCGAACGAAATGAACTAGGTTTACAAAATTTTACTCAAATGTATACTACGTCTTCAGGACCTTTGGTATTGAAAATGGGCCATATAGGTCCATGTTTTGGTATAACTTCCATATAATTGTACCTCCCGATATTCGGTATTTTGGTGATTTAGGCGATCTTATTCACCGGAATTATTTCAAATTTGGTATTCAAAGTTCGTAATGGATACTGCAGCCTGTGACAGAAAATTGTCCGTGCAGGTTCACGTCTCCGTATAGCCCCCATATAAGGGTACCTCCCTATTTTCGGTATTTTAATGATTTTGGCGACATTATTCAGCGGAATTATTTCAAATTTGGCATTTGAAGTTCGTAATGGATACTACAGCCTATGACAGAAAATTGTCTGTGTCGGTCCACGTCTTCGTGTAGTCCCCATATAAAGGTACCTCCCGATAATCGGTATTTTGACAATTTAAACGGCAATATTCACCGGAAATGTTTCAAATTTGGTATTTGGGGTTCGTAAGGGATACCACAGCCTAAGACAGAAAATTATCTTTGCAGGTCCACGTCTTCGTGTAGCCCCCATACAAAGGCACCTCCCGATATTCGGTATTTTGATGATTTTAGCGAAATTATTTTCCGGAATTGTTTCAAATTTGGTATTTGAGATTCGTAATGGATGCTTCATCCTATGACAGAAAATTGTCTGGGGAGGTCCACGTCTTCGTGTAGCCCCCATATAACGGTATCTCCCGAAATTCGGTATTTTGATGATTTTAGCCAATTTTTTCAATGGAATTATCTGAGAATCCATACCAGGAGTTGCTTCTGAGTACTTCACCCCTTGGAAGAGAATTATCTACAGAGGTCCACGATATTGTATTTCCCCGAAGTGATATTTTTCTACGGATTTTTTTAAATTATTCAAGAAATGGTGGAGGGTATTAAAGCAGCTTTCTTGATTGTTGTTAAATATTACGGCTATGATTTTTCCAAATATCTAAAATTAATTATCCGTTCATAGAAAAATCAAAAGAAAATTTAAAAAAATCCTTTTATTCAAATCTGAAAAATATACCCTTCCAGGAAAAAAATGTTTTTCTAATTTTAAAATTCTAAACCAAAAACATTTTCTATAAACTCAACTTAAATATTCCCCCGTATTACGACAACCCAAAAAAAAAACACAAAAAAACCTGAAAATACATTTTAAAATACCCCCCCACCCTCCCCCTGAAATCCGGGAATTGAGACCTCCACGAAAATAAGCATAATTCTATTTGAATATTTATATTATTCAGCGATTTGAGTGCAAAATCACACACCGAAACACATTTACCAAACCACTCGGGAGTAAATTACAAACAGATCAAAAAACACAGGCAAGCACACACACACACACCCGCCTACACTCTCACAGAGGCCACCAAGCATTCAGCTGGCAAATGTAATGGCATCAGTAGCACACACACACACACACTAACTGCAATGGTTCTCATTTGTTTTTCCGTTATTTTTTTTTTTCATGGCAGAGATGCCATGATTGGCACGTGACCGGGAGCAAAATTCAAAATAATACTCACACACACACATTTATACATAAATATCTACATCCACACATAACGTGTTCGTTGCCCAATTGCACTCTCACTTACCTTTGTATGGCACACACCACATTCGTTGGCTTTAGGACCAGGGCAAATGTGACCGCATAACACATCAGAATGCCCGCTAGGAGTATGTAGCTCAGCTCCCTGCCGGATGCCCGGACAATTGGTGTGTCATTGTGTCTGCGGATGTGGTTCGTTGTTCGTTGTAATGGTCGGTCCAGATTCCAGAGCATTATAGAGCCGCATTATCAGCATCAGGCAGCAATGCAAAACAAATGCATTGCAATGATGATGGGAGAATTTGGGGGAGAGAAAGAGAGAGAGGGAGAGAAAGGAAGAGAGAGAGACATAGTTAGAGAGGCAAATATCATTAGAGGTGCTAATGAAATTTTAATATCCTTTTAATAGCCATGATTTTCTATAAAAATTTGCCAATAATGTGAAAATCGTGGGATTGTTTGTTGGCGGAAGGAAAAAAATGGAATCACACACACACACACATATATTTATACAAAGCTATTCATACAAATGTATGTATCGAGGGACTTAAAACGAATGTAATTAGTACCAATGAGGTTAGGAAGAGGAAGTTTTAATGGTTTAATAATATTTTAAATGGTTTTTTCCTGTTTTTTTTTTTATTTTAAAATACCCATTCTTGAAAAAATTCTAAAAAAATTAAAAAATATTTTTTTTATAATCAACGTTTTTTGGAAAAAAAATTGTTTAAAAAAATTAATGTTCCTTGGAAAAATATTTTTTTTTATAATCAACGTTTTTTGGAAAAAAAATTGTTTAAAAAAATCAATGTTCCTTGGAAAAATATTTTTTAAAAAATTCACGTTTCTTGGAGAAATATTTTAAAAAAATTCACGTTTGTTGGAGAAATATTTTTTAAATAATCCACGTTTCTTGAAGAAATATTTTTTTTTAAATCCAAGTTTCTTGGAGAAATATTTAAAAAAATCCACTTAGAAAATATATTTTTTTATAAAATCAACGTTTCTTAAAATTTTTTTTTTCAAAAAACCCACGTTTCTTAAAAAATATTTTTTTCAAAAAACCCACGTTTCTTAAAAAATATTTTTTCAAAAAACCAACGTTTTTGGAAAAACATTGTTTTAAAAAAATCCATGTTTCTTGGAGAAATAATTAAAAAGAATCCACGTTTCTTGGAGAAATAATTAAAAAGAATCCACGTTTCTTGGAGAAATAATTAAAAAGAATCCACGTTTCTTGGAGAAATAAAAATAAAAAAATCCACGTTTGTTGAAACATTAAAAAATATATTTTTTGGAATCCAAATTTATTTTTTCTTTGAAAATCTGTGTTTATTTATTCTTTTTTTTGAATATTTTTTTCTTGAAAAAATATTTTTTAAAAAATCCAAATTTATTTTTTGTTTGAAAAATCATTTTTTAACATTGAAAATATATTTCCAAAAAAACTAAATTTGTTGAAGCATTGAAAATATACTTCTATAAAAACTAAAATTGTTGAAACATTGAAAAAATATTTTTTTAAAAAATGCACATTTGTTGAAACATTGAAAAAATATTTTTTAAAAAATCCACGTTTATTTGTACTTTGAAAAAATCTTTTTTAAAAAAATCCACGTTTGTTGGTACCTTTCAAAAAATTATTTTTTAAAAAATCCACGTTTGTTGGTACTTTGAAAAATATTTTTTAAAAAAAATCCACGTTTGTTGGTACCTTTGAAAAAATATTTTTTAATAAAATCCACGTTTGTTGGTACTTTGAAAAAATATTTTTTTAAAAAATCCACGTTGTTGGTACTTTGAAAAAATATTTTTTTAAAAATCCACGTATGTGGTTATTTTGAAAAAAATATTTTTTACAAAATCCCCGTTTGTTGGTTCTTTGAAAAAATATTTTTTATAAAATCCACGTTTGTTGGTACTTTGAAAAAATATTTTTTTAAAAAATCCACGTTGTTGGTACTTTGAAAAAATATTTTTTTAAAAAATCCACGATTGTTGGTTACTTTGAAAAAATATTTTTTTAAAAATCCACGTATGTGGTTATTTTGAAAAAAAATATTTTTTACAAAATCCCCGTTTGTTGGTTCTTTGAAAAAATATTTTTTGAAAAAATCCTAGGTTCTTGGTTTCTTAAATGTTTTTTTTTTTTAACAAATTTTGTTAATTGAAATCAGTATCCGTATAAGGTCGACAGATATGTCAAGCTTAACGGATAATATTATCCATGTTATCCAGATACGAAGAAATTTATCCGAGAAAAAGATCCATGTTATCCGGATGCAAAAAAAAATGTCGAAATGAAAGAAAAAGTATTATCCGGCTTGGAAAAAATTATCCAGGATGGAAAAGAATATTATCCATATTATCCGAATGATACAAAAAGTTATCCGCATTATCCGCATGTAAAACATTATCCACGTTATCCGGCAAATTTTCGGAATGTGAGAAAATATGTAATCCTTATTGGAAAAATTATGCAGGATGGAAAAAATATTATCCGAATGATAAAAAAAGTTATCCACTTTATCCGGATGCAAGAAATTATCCAGACGAAAAAAAATTCTCCACATTTATTCAGTTGTGAACAAATTATCCACATTATCCGGATAAGAAAATATTATCTTCATTATCCAGTTGCCAAAAATTATTTATCCATATTATTCGTATACTTTATCCACGTTATCCGGAATAAAATAACTTTGTTATCTAGGTGAGAAAAAAATTATCCACTTTATCCGGATGGAAAAAATGTCCATGTTATCCGAATGGAAAAAATTATCCATGTTATCCGGAGGGGAAAAATGAACATAAATTTGTTATCCTCGTTATTATTACGATATAAAGAAGTTATCCACATTATCCGTTTGACATTAAAATGTTATCGACCTTATCCGGATAACAAATAATTGTTATCTACGTTATTCGGATAACAAATAATTGCTATCTACGTTATTCGGATGACAGAAATTTGTTATCCACATTATCCGAGGAACTTAAATATATTATTTACGTTGTCCGTATGACATAAATATGTTATCCGAATTATCCGGATAGTATAAAAATGCTATCCACGTTACTCGAATAACATAAAAATTTTATCCACGTTATCCGGATAACAAATTAATGTTATCCACGTTATCCGGATGACAGAAATGTGTTATCCAAGTTATCCGAATCATATGAATTTGTTATCCACGTTATCCGGATAGCATAAAAATTTTATCGACCTTATCCGAGTAATGCTAAAATGTTATCCACGTTATCCGAACGACATACATATGTTATCCAAGTTATCCGGATAACCAAAAATGTTATTCGCGTTATCCGAATAACTTAAAGATGTTGTCTACTTTATCTGAATAACATAAATATTTTATCCACGTTATCCGTTTGGCATAAAAATATTATCCACATTATCCGGATAACATAAATATTGTATCCTTATTATCCAGATAACATGAATATGTTATCCACCTTATCCGAGTAATACAAAAATGTTATCCATGTTATCTGAATGATATACATATTTTATCCAAGTTATCCGGATAACCTAAAAATGTTATTCTCGTTATTCGAATAACTTAAAAATGTTATCCACGTTACGGAATAACATAAATATTTTATCCACGTTATCCGTTTGACATAAAAATGATATCAACGTTATCCGGATAACAAAAATTTGTTATCCGAATTATCCGGATTGTATAAAAATGCTATACACGTTACTCGAATAATATAAATATTTTATCCACATTATCCGTTTACCATAAAAAATTTATCCACGTTATCCGGATAGCAGAAAAATGTTATTTACGTTTTCCGGATAACATAAAAATTGTATTCTTATTATCCAGGTACAAAAATGTTATCCACGTTATCCGAATGACATACATATGTTAAAGAAATTATCCGGATAACCTAAAAATGTTATTCTCGTTATCCGAATAACTTAAAAATGTTATCCACGTTATCCGAATAACATAACTATTTTATCCACGTTATCCGTTTAACATAAAAATGTTATCCATGATATCCGGATAACATAAATTTATTATCCACGTCATACGGATAACGTAAACATATATTATCCACTTTATCCAAATAACGTAAAAATTTTATCCACGATATCCGGATAAGATTTAGATGTTATCCTCGTTATCCATATCTCATATGAGTCAGCCGGATTACGTAAATATGTTATCCATATTATCCGTATAACTCAAATTAATTCGTATAACGTAAAAAATTTTATCCACATATCCGAATATAATATAATTATGTTAATCCAAGTTATCCGAATGACATACATGTGATAACCACATTATGCGTATAACATTAAAATGTTATCCACTTTATTCGTACACTTTAAAATGTTACCGTTTGATTTACAAATGTTATCCATTTTATCCTAAAAATGTTTTTTTACACTATTCGGATAAAATAAAAAATTCCGTCATTCCGTTATTAAAAATATTATAATGTAAATTACCCGGATAACAAAAAACAAATCTTCCTCGCCCTCTCCTCTTTATATATGGTGACCTTTTGTCCTTTTTTTCCCATTGACAACAGGATATTGTTCTCTTTAATTGTTATGGCTTCTAAAATGTTTTTGGAAATTCCATTGAAAATTCAGTTTTTTTTGCTTTGCTTATTTTCCCAAAACACACACAAGCATACAAGGCTGAAGAACATTATTGCAATAAGGAAATGTTGCTGATATTCGGTGGTGGTGGTAGAAAAAAGGATATAACTGTGTGTGCAGGACTTTTGTTATATGTTGTAGTTGGCCATGTAAAACGAAAATTACAAAAAAAAAAATATGCAAAAAATAATATCAAATTTGAAAATTTTACATTCGAAATAATCAAGGATTTTTTTGGTTTTCAAAAAGGATTATTGTTTGGCCCGGTATTGTTATGTTTGAGGTTAGATGTTGGTGTAACTGGCTCGAGGCCAAGATTTTTTTTTTTTGATTTTTTTTGTTACAATTTTAAAAACATATGTGTGGCTTGGAATGCAATAAATGTTGTAAGGTTAGAATATTTAGAGTATCCTTTTGAGAAAATTCCAATATTGTGTGTGTTTCGTGTTTGGCCCTGAGCCCAAGGATTTTTGAGAGACTTTTATTATTGATTTGGTTTTAATTAAAAGATCCGCATTTGGAATATGTTCTCCTAAGAGAAACACCATAAAATCTAAGATTTTTTTTCATTGGAAAAATGTCCTTTGAATCCTAAAAGGACTTAAATCAATATTTTTTTTGTTCGAAAAAAAATATATTTTCCTTCAACGGAATAAAAAGCTACTTGGTGTAAAAAATATTGAGCATTTTCAGACCTTCAAAAAAAAATTGTCAAAAAAGGACCTTCCTTCAATTCCAAAAGGACATAAAGTGGTTTGAAAAATTCTAAAAATATGTTCTCGTAAAAAATATGTTCTCCTTAGAGGAAGACCATAAAATCTGCAGATATTTTTTTTCATTGGAAAAATGTCCTGTGAATCCCAAATGGACTTAAATCAATATTTTTTTGCTGAAAAAAAGTTTTTTTTACTTTCAAAGGTAAATTTTTCAAACTTTTAGAGGCCATTTTTTAAAGAATTGTTAGAGGCCACCTACAGACCAGAAAACGTGGATTTTTTAAACAATTTTTAGAGGCCACCTAAAAACCAGAAAACGTGGATTTTTTAAAGAATTTGAAGATTTTTCATTGGAAAAATGTCCTTTGAATCCCAAAAGGACTTAAATCAATAGATTTTTTTTTTGGCTGGAAAAAAGTTTTTTTTTACCTTCAAAGGTAAATTTTTCAAACTTTCAAATTTTTTTTTTTTGCAAAAAAAGGACCTTTTCCTCCAAAAGGACATAAAGAGGTTTGAAAAATTCTCTTTGTTATTTTTTCGATTTAAGGCCAAGAGGCCAAGCATTTTTTTGTTACGATTTCAGAAAAATCTGTGTTTCTTGGAATGCAATAAATGTTGTAAGGTTAGGATATTTAGAGTATCCTTTTGAGGAAATTCCAATATTGTGTGAGTTGCATGTTTGGCCCTGGGCTCAAGGATTTTTTTAGAGACTTTTATTATTGGTTTTGTTTTAATTAAAAGATCCGCATTTCGAATATGTTCTCTTAAGAGAAACACCATAAAATCTAAGAATTGGAAAAAGGTCCTTTTGATCCAAAAAGGACTTAAATATTTTTTTTTTTTGTCTAAAAAAAGTATTTTTGCCTTCAAAGGAGTACAAAGCTACTTGGAGAAAGACCATAAAATCATAAAAAAATTTTGTTCATTGAAAAAAGGTCCTTTTGATCCAAAAAGGACTTAAATATTTTTTTTTGTCTAAAAAAAGTATTTTTGCCTTCAAAGGAATACAAAGTTAATTGGGAAAAAATATTGAGCCTTTTCTAACCTTCAAAAAAAATTTTTTTTTTCCCAAAAAAGGACCTTCAGATCCAAAAGGACATGAAGAGGTTTGAAAAATTCCCAATGTTAATTTTTCGTTTCGTATTTCACATTTGCTTTTTCCTCAAAAATTTTCAACTAAAATCCTCCAATTCGAAAGTGACAACCATGGAGCTGATATCTCAACTCCTTGATATCCTTGTCCAAATTATCCAACAATGGAATCCCCACAATGAAGTCGGGTCAAGTGCTTCGCCATAATGTGTGCAGTGGCATCAATGTCATGCTGGACATTATTGTCCAACTACTGCTGAGTGGCGGCGATGCAATGTTGCGGACATTTGTTATTTACCCAGCAGTTGGTTGGCCATAACGAAAGGACATATTCCCAGATGGCCAATGGCTGAACAAATAGCGAAGTTGGCAAAAGAATGTCACTTCAAAAAAAATGTTGAAAATGAAAAATGAGAAAATTTCGTTAAACTAAAATAAGTAATGTAATGCACTTCCACTCTCTTTTCTTGGGTGAGCGGAGAGAGAGGGAGAGTAACTTACCTCACAAACACACCCACAACAAAGAGCGTCACCAATATGCCCGTTGCACTAAATGCCATGGCACCAATGGCCCAGGCCGATTCGGGTCGTAAATACACTTCTGGTATGGTTTGGCAAAATTGTTTCGTGGCATCCGGCAGGGTGCCCAGCTGGCAGGTCAGACACTGGGTTTCATCGGTGGGATGGCGGATCTAGAAGCAAAAAAAAAAAAAAAAATCCAAAAGACAAACAAAATTAATGAGAAAATGTTAGCACAAAAAAATAAAACTTGAAGTTATTAAAAATAAATTTCCAACTCTAATCACTTTTTCCCGGAAAACCATGTCCACAACCTCTCAGAAAATTATTTTCTCTCACTTCCACTCTCCCTAAGCCATCTGAAAGTTTTCAAATAAATCATGTTTCATTCACACAGACACAACCATTACCCCATGGTAAGCCAAGTAGTCGCAAACAGCCAAAGGAACTGGACGAAGGAGACGAGATATGACAACAACAACAGCAATAACAACAATATCAACTAAAGTTAATGGTATAAATATACTGTCAGCTCTCATACATTGAGTAATAACATGTGGTGTTTGTACACGTTTCCGGTATTGTATTACCACAATCATGTCAGGTTAACAAGGCAGCTCATGTTCGAGGAAAATTGAGAAAAGGATACAGAAGGGGAAAATAAATAAAAAAAAAATTGAAAAATTGTTTTCCAGGGACTTGTCACGATGTAATATAAAATCACAAGAAATAAATGAGAATTATTTAAAGAATTTTCCAGTGGATTTTTTCGAAGAATTTTTAGAGGCCACCTAAAGACCAGAAAACGTGGATTTTTTAACGAATTTTTAGAGGCCACCTAAAGACCAGAAAACGTGGATTTTTATAAATTTTTTAGAGGCCACGTAAAGACCAGAAAACGTGGATTTTTAACGAATTTTTAGAGGTCACTTTAGGCCCAGAAAATGTGGATTTTTTAAATAATTTTTAAAGGCCACCTAACGACCAGAAAACGTGGATTTTTAAAAGAATTTTTAGAGGCCATCTAAAGACCAGAAAACGTGGATTTTTAAAAGAATTTTTAGAGGCCATCTAAAGACCAGAAAACGTGGATTTTTTCGAAGAATTTTTAGAGGCCACCTAAAGACCAGAAAACGTGGATTTTTAAAGAATTTTTAGAGGCCATCTAAAGACCAGAAAACGTGGATTTTTTAAAGAATTTTTAGAGGCCATCTAAAGACCAGAAAACGTGGATTTTTTAAAGAATTTTTAGAGGCCATCTAAAGACCAGAAAACGTGGAGTTTTTAAAGAATTTTTAGAGGCCATCTAAAGACCAGAAAACGTGGATTTTTTAAAGAATTTTTAGAGGCCATCTAAAGACCAGAAAACGTGGATTTTTTAAATAATTTTTAGAGGTCATCTAAAGACCAGAAAACGTGTATTTGTTTAAGAATTTTTAGAGGCCACCTAAAGACCAAAAACTTGGATTTTTTAAAGAATTTTTAGAGGACACGTAAAGACCAGGAAACATGGATTTTTTAAAAAAATTTTTAGAGGACACCTAAAGACCAGAAAACGTGGATTTTTTAAAGAATTTTTAGAGGTCACCTAAAGACCAGAAAACGTGGATTTTTTAAAGAATTTTTAGAGGTCAACTAAAGACCAGAAAACGATGATTTTTTAAAGAATTTTTAGAGGCCAACAAACGTGGATTTTTTAAAGAATTTTTAGAGGCCAACAAACGTGGATTTTTTAAAGAATTTTTAGAGGCCAACAAACGTGGATTTTTTAAAGAATTTTTAGAGGCCAACAAACGTGGATTTTTTTAAAGAATTTTTAGAGGCCAACAAACGTGGATTTTTTTAAAGAATTTTTAGAGGCCAACAAACGTGGATTTTTTAAAGAATTTTTAGAGGCCAACAAACGTGGATTTTTTAAAGAATTTTTAGAGGCCAACAAACGTGGATTTTTTAAAGAATTTTTAGAGGCCAACAAACGTGGATTTTTTAAAGAATTTTTAGAGGCCAACAAACGTGGATTTTTTAAAGAATTTTTAGAGGCCAACAAACGTGGATTTTTTTAAAGAATTTTTAGAGGCCAACAAACGTGGATTTTTTAAAGAATTTTTAGAGGCCAACAAACGTGGATTTTTTAAAGAATTTTTAGGGGCCAACAAACGTGGATTTTTTAAAGAATTTTTAGAGGCCAACAAACGTGGATTTTTTAAAGAATTTTTAGAGGCCAACAAACGTGGATTTTTTAAAGAATTTTTAGAGGCCAACAAACGTGGATTTTTTAAAGAATTTTTAGAGGCCAACAAACGTGGATTTTTTTAAAGAATTTTTAGAGGCCAACAAACGTGGATTTTTTTAAAGAATTTTTAGAGGCCAACAAACGTGGATTTTTTTAAAGAATTTTTAGAGGCCAACAAACGTGGATTTTTTAAAAAAAGGCCAAAGAACCTGGATTTTTTAAGGGATTTTTAATGCCTTCAAACGCAGATTTTTGGGTCATATTTGACTTTGACTCAAATTCTCTCAAAGCTGATTTTTTTAAGGCTCCCCTTAGGCTTTTCAATGTAGATTTTTTTAGGAAATTCCTAAGGTATGCTAAATGTTCTTTTTGTAGAAATTTATACTTACTTGATAGGTTGAGCAATTGAAGCAGTGCCAGCAGCAGCTTTCACCCTCAACATATTTCTTGGCCTGACCTCTTTCGCATTCCAAACTGCAAACGGATTCTGGGGGTTTGGGTTGTAGCATTTTGAACTGGACCTCTGCAATAAAGAATATAAACAAAATTTTGAGTAACTTATTTAGAAATATTTCGATAATATTTATTTGAAGAATATTGGATTTTTTAAAGGTTTTTTTTTTTAAATATTTTGTCAAGGACCAATGAAGGCGTGGAGGTTTTAAAGAATATTTCTTCAAGGACCAAGAGTGGATTTTTCAAGAAATATTTTTGCAAAGACGGTTTTCAAAAAATATTTTGCTAAGGAACAGAGGCGTGGTTTTTTCAAAAAATATTTTTCCATGGACCATCATAGGCGTGGATTTTTCAAAAAATATTTTTCCAAGGACCAACAGAGGCGTGGATTTTTAAAAAAATATTTTTTCCATGGACCAACAGAGGGGTGGTTTTTTCAAAAAATATTTTTCCAGGGACCAACAGAGGCGTGGATTTTTTAAAGAATATTTTTTCCATGGACCATCAGAGGCGTGGATTTTTCAAAAAATATTTTTTCAACAACCAACAGAGGCGTGGATTTTTTAAAGAATAATTTTTCCATGGACCATCAGGGTCGTGGATTTTTTAGAGAATATTTTTTCCAAGGACCATCAGAGGCGTGGATTTTTTAAAGAATATTTTTTCCTTCGACCGTCAGAGTCGTGGATTTTTTAAAGAATAGTTTTTCCTTCGACCATCAGAGGCGTGGATTTCTTAAAAAATATTTTTTCCATGGACCATCAGAGGCGTGGATTTTTTAAAGAATATTTTATCCAAGGACCATCAGAGGCGTGGATTTTTTAAAGAATATTTTTTTCCAAGGACCATCAGAGGGGTGGATTTTTTAAAGTATATTTTTTCCAAGGACCATCAGAGGCTTGGATTTTTTAAAGAATATTTTTTCCAAGGACCATCAGAGGGGTGGATTTTTTAATCTATATATTTTCTAAGGACCATCAGAGGCGTGGATTTTTTAAAAAATATTTTTTCCATGGACCATCAGAGGCGTGGATTTTTTAAAAAATATTTTTTCCATGGACCATCAGAGGCGTGGATTTTTTAAAAAATATTTTTTCCATGGACCATCAGAGGCGTGGATTTTTTAAAAAATATTTTTTCCATGGACCATCAGAGGCGTGGATTTTTTAAAAAATATTTTTTCCATGGACCATCAGAGGCGTGGATTTTTTAAAAAATATTTTTTCCATGGACCATCAGAGGCGTGGATTTTTAAAAAATATTTTTTCCATGGACCATCAGAGGCGTGGATTTTTTAAAAAATATTTTTTCCATGGACCATCAGAGGCGTGGATTTTTTAAAAAATATTTTTTCCATGGACCATCAGAGGCGTGGATTTTTTAAAAAATATTTTTTCCATGGACCATCAGAGGCGTGGATTTTTTAAAAAATATTTTTTCCATGGACCATCAGAGGCGTGGATTTTTTAAAAAATATTTTTTCCATGGACCATCAGAGGCGTGGATTTTTTAAAAAATATTTTTTCCATGGACCATCAGAGGCGTGGATTTTTTAAAAAATATTTTTTCCATGGACCATCAGAGGCGTGGATTTTTTAAAAAATATTTTTTCCATGGACCATCAGAGGCGTGGATTTTTTAAAAAATATTTTTTCCATGGACCATCAGAGGCGTGGATTTTTTAAAAAATATTTTTTCCATGGACCATCAGAGGCGTGGATTTTTTAAAAAATATTTTTTCCATGGACCATCAGAGGCGTGGATTTTTTAAAAAATATTTTTTCCATGGACCATCAGAGGCGTGGATTTTTTAAAAAATATTTTTTCCATGGACCATCAGAGGCGTGGATTTTTTAAAAAATATTTTTTCCATGGACCATCAGAGGCGTGGATTTTTTAAAAAAATATTTTTTCCATGGACCATCAGAGGCGTGGATTTTTTAAAAAAATATTTTTTCCATGGACCATCAGAGGCGTGGATTTTTTAAAAAATATTTTTTCCATGGACCATCAGAGGCGTGGATTTTTTAAAAAATATTTTTTCCATGGACCATCAGAGGCGTGGATTTTTTAAAAAATATTTTTTCCATGGACCATCAGAGGCGTGGATTTTTTAAAAAATATTTTTTCCATGGACCATCAGAGGCGTGGATTTTTAAAAAATATTTTTTCCATGGACCATCAGAGGCGTGGATTTTTTAAAAAATATTTTTTCCATGGACCATCAGAGGCGTGGATTTTTTAAAAAATATTTTTTCCATGGACCATCAGAGGCGTGGATTTTTTAAAAAATATTTTTTCCATGGACCATCAGAGGCGTGGATTTTTTAAAAAATATTTTTTCCATGGACCATCAGAGGCGTGGATTTTTAAAGAATATTTTTCAAGGACCCCAGGGGCTTTGACCTTTTAAAAAAATATTTTTTAAGGACCCCAAGGGCTTTGACTTTTTAAAAAAATATTTCTCAAGGACCCCAAGGGCTTTGACTTTTTAAAAAAAAATTTTCAAGGACACCAAGGGCTTTGACTTTTTAAAAAAATATTTTTTCATCGGCCAAGATTTTTTCAATCGGCGAGATTTTTTAAAAAAATATTTTTTAAAGACCCCAAGGGCTTTCACTTTTTTAAAAAAATATTTTTTCAGCGATCAACAGGGGTATGCAATTTTCAAAGAATATTTTTTCATCGGTGTGGATTTTTGAATAAATATTGTTTTAAGAAACAACAGGGGCGTGGATTGTTTAAAAAATATTTTTTTCGACGACTAATAGAGGCGTGGCCTTTGAATAAATATTTTTTCAAGAAAAAACAGGGGCGGGAATTTTTTTAAAATATTTTTTAACGGCCAACAGAGGCGGGAATTTTTTAAAAAATATTTTTTCAAGATCCTCAAATTTAAGGATATTTTTTCCAGGAACAATGCACCAATATTCCAGATTTTTTTGAAGAATATTTTCCCTCTCTTGAAAATAACGATCTACTCCACTGCCTCAAATCTGTTTCCATTTAAAACACATATCTCTAAATAAAGTCATTATAACCAAGTGTTTCTGCAAAATTTCACCACAAATTTCCAAGGTGTCAATTGATTCAAAACTGCCCAGAAAACTAAACCAAAATTTCTAATTAAAAACCAGTTTTTTTCATCCTGGCCATTTTTCTGGTCCAATAATTGAATGTGGTTTACCAAATGTAAGTACATAAATAGTTTATAACAACTCTTTGTGACTGCAGTTGACAGTAGGATTTTCCTGGTAAAACACAAATACACACACACACACAACAAACACACAGAACATCGTTACGAAGGCAAAAACTAGATAATCTCTTGTGTGTTGTCCAAAACAGAGGGCTGGCTGTTGAAGCAAAGTGAATTTCTTTCTCAGTAGATCTTTAATTTTCTTTGATGTGAAAAAGAAGAAATTCTTGAAGGAAGAATATTTTTAAAGACAAAAAAAGGGAATTTTTAGCTAGATTCAAAAAATTGTGGATTTTTTAAAAAAAATATTTTTTTCAAGGACCAAAAAAGTTGAGGGTTTATAAAAAAATCTTTTTCCAATAATAGCCCCAAAATGTGGATTTTTAAGGCTATACTAGCTAGGATTATCAACACATTGGATAATATCGTTCTCACTCGCACTCACCTGACATGTTCAGACGCAGCTCTCCCTCATAGTACTCTCCCACCTTGACCCAGTTGTATTGGCCCTCCTTGATTTGCTTGAAGTGAATAATATTGTAACGAGCTGGCCCATCGCCATTGTTGTCGAAACGGAAATGATCACCACTGAGGCCTGAAATGGTAAAGAAAAAAATAGTTAAAAAAAAATATAAAGAATATTTTATTTTTAAAAAAAATATAAAATTTTTATTTTTGAAAAATATATATTTTTTTATTTCTGAAAAAAAAAAAAAATAAAAAAATATTTTTGGAAAAAGATATTCAATTTTTTTGCAAAAATTCAATATTTTTTGAAAAAAACTAAAAAAAAATTAATTGATAAAACAAAAAAAAAATATTTTTTTTGAAAAAATAAAAAAAGAATTATTTTATTTTAAAAAAAATAATATAAAAAAAATAAAAAATTCTTTTTAATTGAAAAAAACAAATAAAAAATATTTTATTTTTAAAAAAAATATAGAATTATCTATTTTTGGAAAAAAATTAATAATTTTTTATAAAAAAACAATTGTTTTTTGAGAATTGTTTATTTTTGGAAAAAATATAGATTTTATGTTTATTTTTGGAAAAAATAAAAAAAATATTTTTGGAAAAATTCTTCAATTATTTTTTTTTTGAAAAAATTAAAATTTATTTGAAAAAAAATTAAAAAATTATTTTTAATTGAAAAAACAAATAAAACAATATTTTTTTTTGAAAAATATAAAGAAACAACTATTTTATTTAAAAAAATTAAATTCTTTTTAATTGAAAAAAAAAAAAATAAAAAAAATTTGAAAAATATAAAAAAAACAATTATTTTATTTTAAAAAAATTATATTTTTTAAATAAAAAATTCTTTTTAATTGAAAAACAAATATTTTATTTTTGAAAAATATAGAATTTTCTATTTTTGGAAAAAATGCAAAATACTTTTTTTATGAAAAATGCATTTTTTTATGAGAATTGTTTATTTTTGGAAAAATATAGATTATATATTTTTGGAAAAAATCTTCTTTGTTTTTTGAAAATTTTCAATTTTTTTTTGAAAAAAATCAAATTTTTTTGAAAAAAAAAAATAAAAAATTATTTTTAATTGTAAAAACAAATAAAAAAATATTTTTTTTTTTGAAAAAATATAAAAAAAAACAACTTTTTATTTAAAAAAAATATTGTTTTTGAAAAAAATAAAAAATTCTTTTTCAATTGAAGAAAACAAATAAAAAAAATCATTTTTGAAAAATATAGAATTTCCTATTTTTGGAAAAAATGCAATAGTTTTTTTATGAAAAATGCATTTTTTTATGAGAATTGTTTATTTTTGGAAAAATATTTTTGGAAGAAATCTTCAATTATTTTTTTTTGAAAAAATTTAATTTTTTTGAAAAAAATTCAATTTTTTTGAAAAAATTCAAATTTTTTTGAAAAAAGATTTGAAAATCCTTTTTAATTGAAAAAACAAATAAAAAAATATTTTTTTTTTTTGAAAAAAATATAAAAAAACAATTACTTTATTTAAAAAAAATAAATTATTTTTAATTGAAAAAAAAAAAAAAAAAAACAAATAAAAATATATATTTTTTTTTAAATATAGAATTTTCTATTTTTGGAAAAAATTCAATATTTTTTTTATGAAAATGCATTTTTTTATGAGAAAAAGCAATTATTTTTTATGAAAAAAATTCACATATTTTTTTATGAAAAAATAAAAATTCTTTTTAGAAAAAATTTTAATTTTTTTCTTAAAAATGTTTAATGCCAATATTTGACTCCTTTGAATTCGCTACTCACCCTCAAATTCCACCTTCCTCAAGAATCTCAGCAAATCTGCTCCTTTCGTTGGTTTCATTGCCTCGCACAACGATGGCTTACCGCCACACAATTCTCGATGCATATCTCTGTTGAGGGGGGTTAGGAGTAGGGAAGAGAATATGAAATGACATGAGACACAAGCTAATTATTAATGCGACAGAGAGAGATGTTTAGCAATGATAAGCTTGTTGTGGAGGCGAAATGTCCTTGAACTTGAGGGCAAAGGATTAAACCTTCACACACGCAAACTAGCAAGTAATTATAATTTCATTTGCATAGATTTGGAAATTACTATTCGAGGAGATATGGCAAGGGAAGGCAGGATATAAAATACTCATAAGTACTATTTTTTCTTTCCCCCTCTCTCCACAATATTTAATAAAATTCTGTTTTACCTCAAAGCATAGGCAAATGCCATAACAGCATCACTGACAAACTGCAGCTGATCCTCAAAATCAGTATCCTCTCGAGTCAAACGTTCGGTTTTCGAACATGTCCGGTTGTAGTTGTTGTATGGTGTACTGGAACTGCCGGGATAACGGCACTGGAAATGATCTTCCCAGAACTCTGAAAAACGAAATTTGAAAAATGTACATATTTTGTTAGGTGGGTGAGTCTCCAAGAAGGCACTGGTGATCAGGTCCAATGAAATAGTCCGATATAAATCTTGAAATCATTGCAAGACACTCAAAGGAGAATCATGAGTATTTCCCATGAAAAAATTAAAAATAAATTAAATTGAAAGAACTATTAAAATAAAATAACAATAAAATCGATATTAAATTAAAATAAAAAATAATATAAAATATATATAAAAATCAAATTTAAATAAACAAAAATAAAAAAAAAACAAAAAGAAAAAGAAATGAATTATTAATATACAAAATTATAATAACATAAATGAAAATAAAATAAAAAAAATCTTAATAAAATATAATAAACAAAAAAAAAATAATAACAAATTAAAAATAAAAAAAAAAAACTAAAAACATAAAATAAAAATAAAAAAAGATAAAATGAAAGTGGATAAAAATTAATTTAAAATTATAATAAAATAAATGGAATAATAATAAAATAAAATATTAAAATTAAAAAAAAATAAAATACAACAATTTAAAGATAAAATAAACAAAATTAAATAGGAAAATAATATAAAAAATAAATAACTCAATTAATAATGATAATAATGATATAACACATTAAAAATAAAAAAAAAACAGAATAAAAAATAGATAAAAGGAAATTAGAATAAAAATTAAATTCAAATTATAATAACATAAATGAAATAAAAATAAAATAAAATATTAAAAAATTATAACAAATTAAAAATAAAAAACTAAAAAAATAAAAAAAAAAATAAAAAGACAAATTGTAAGTGAATAAAAATTAATTAAAATTATAATATATAAATGGAATAAAAATAAAATAAAATGTTAATGAAATATTAAAAGTAAAAAAAAAAAAAAACTAAAATATAACAATTTAATAATAAAATAAACAAAGTTAAATAGGAAAATAATATAAACAAGAAATAAATCACTTAATAACAATAATAATAATAATATAATAATAATAATAATAATAATAATAATAATAATAATAATAATATAATAATAATAATAATAATAATAATAATAATAATAATAATAATAATAATAATAATAATAATAATAATAATATAATAATAATAATAATAATAATAATAATAATAATAATAATAATAATAATAATAATAATAATAATAATAATAATAATATAATAATAATAATAATAATAATAATAATAATAATACTAATAATAATAATAATAATAATAATAATAATAATAATAATAATAATAATAATAATAATAATAATAATAATAATAATAATAATAATAATAATATAATAATAATAATAATAATAATAATAATAATAATAATAATAATAATAATAATAATAATAATAATAATAATAATAATAATAATAATAATAATAATAATAATAATAATAATAATAATAATAATTAAAAGAAATTGAAAAAATATGGATGCAACAAAATAAAAATGAATAGACATGGAGTAAAATAAAAATAAATCAAAATAAATTAAAAACTAAAACATAACAAAATAAAAAGGAAATGAAATCGAAAAAAAAAATAAAATACAATATACAAAAATAAAGAAATTATAACAAATTAAAAATAAAAATAAAATAAAAATAAAATAAAAATAAAATAAAATATAATTATAAATTATAATAAAATTAAAGGAATAAAATAAAATGTTAATAAAATATTAAAAGTAAAAAAATAAAACTAAAATATAACAGTTTATAAAAAAAATTAAACAAAATTAAATAGAAAAATAATATAAACAAGAAATAAATCAATTATTTATAATAATAATTAAATAAAAAAATATGGATACAACAAAAATAAAAATAAAATAGTCCATGTCTAAAATAAATAAAATAAAAATAAATTGAAAAAAAAAAATAAATAAATAATAAATTAAAATATAATAAAAAATGAAATGAAATCGAAAAAAAAAATAAAATAGAAACTAGATAAATAAAAGCAAATTAAAAATAGAATAAAAATAAAATCAGATCAAAATAAAAAAATTAAAAAACTTATTCTCAACAATTTTGCTTAAAAAATAAATTGAAAAGAAAAAAGGAAATTAAAATAAAATCGAAGCCTTTGCTCTTCTTTTAGTCTCGTTGAGCTTGACCTGAGTTTGAGTTTTGAATTTTATTTCCTCGAAACTTACCCACAAACCATGGATTCCGCAAATTGTTCTCCACCGTTAAGTTGAGAAAATATTCTTCAAATCCTTTGACGGGATTTGCCTGGGGCTGGACCGAGAGAGTGCCTTCAACCTGTAAAGGAATAAAAAGATTTTTGTAAATTAAATTATTTTTTTTACAACTGAGGATTTTTAACAATTCATTATTAAAATATTTTCATAAGCCCAAACCTAAAGAAATATTTTTGAAAATCCACAAAAGTCTATATGTTTAAATTAAAAAAAAAAAAAAAAATAAATAAATTTAAATTTAAATATATATACTAAGTATCTCGAAAAATATTTTATAAATTCCACAAAAGTCCTTCAAAAATATTTTTAAAAATCCACAGAAGTCCCTGGGAAAAACTACGATTGTTATCCAGAAAGTCTCTAAAAAATATTTTTTGGACTGCAGGAATTTTTTTCAGGGGAATAAAAACTGTCTCAAAAAATTTAAAAAATCCTCGAAATTCACTCAAAACTTTTTAAAATTCACGATTGTAGCACCGAATTTTATTTAAAATTTTTCTACTATTACCCTGAAAATTCCAAAAAAAAAAAAAACGATAATCAGCAATTACACTCAAAGCTTTAAAAAAAATTCTCTGAAAATTTCTCTTTATTTTTAACATTTTTTTAAGTTATAGCCATAGCCACGATTTTTATGCGAAAATTACTTTAAAAATATTTTTGAAAATCCTGGACAGTTCTCCAGAAATATTGCACGATTAGGTCCTTTAAATGTTTTTTTTTTTACTTTTTACGATTAAAGACTTCAGGAAATTAATAAATAATCTTAAATATTAAGAAAATTCCTCATAAATATTTCTTAAAATCCCCTAAAAAATGATTACAAAATTTTCGCTTAGATCCATTTAAAAACAGTTTTTTTTTCTACAAAAACCCTCCAAAAGATATTTTTAAATAGTTACCTAAAAATAGTTTTAAACATCCATAATAAAAATGTTAAAAATATTCATAAAAAGCCCATAAAATATTTTCTTAAAAATTCTTAAAAAAATTCTAAGTTTCCCAAAAATATTCCTAAAAATCGTTGTATACCTCCAATAAAAATATTTTTTAAAAATCATTCAAAAATAGTTCTAGAATCCTTCAGAAAAAATTCAAAATAAAAATCCCTCAAAACATAGTTTTAAAGTTTCACAACTAAGTCCACTAAAAATATTATTAAAAGTCACCTGAATATATTCTTAAAATCATTTAAAAATATGCTTAAAAATATTACAAATATCGCTCAAAAATATTCCTGAAAATCCATTCTTAGGTCCATTAAAAATATTGTTAAAACATCCCTCAAAAATAGTTTTAAAAATCGCTCCAAAAAAGAAAAAATTAAATATTTTTCAAAAATCGCCAAAGAAAAATTCGGAAAAATCGCTCAAAAACCATAGAAAAATATTCTACAAAATACATTCCCATGAACTCAGCTTTCAAAATTTCCAGGTTTCCTTGAAAATTTTCCCTAAATATTTCGCGAATATATTTCCAAGATCCTTGAAAAATTGTCCTCACATACTTTTTTTAAATACAATACTGAAATTTCAAAAATATAAAAATTGAAATTCCAACTATTAAAGAATGCCAGCCGTGACCGTGTGGGCCGCTAGCTACAATTGTAGTGATTGCCATTGAAATAGCTGGGCATTTTTTTTTGCTCTGCAGGATTTCCTACACATTCCAGGAATGTTTTACATTTACCGTTAATAGATTTTAACCAGGCAACAAATAACAATGTACACCCTTCCCAAAGGAAAAAGGTGAAAGCTGCTGCCGTTGACTCTTTAGATATGGAATGTCACAAATTCCTACACACACACACACACACTCACAAGGGGGTTGTAGACCAGGACAATAACGTTGCCAGGGATTTTCGCCGCCCACATTGCTCGTGAATTTGTTGATATGAAACAATTTTTATTTCAATGGAAACCTATTCGGTAATGCCAGGGCTAAAGCCTTGCCTGCTGGCCATAGCCCCCTATCCACTATTCAGTGTTCCCATTAAAGGTAAACCTTAAAGACCATCTACTGCCAGAGGGCAGCTCTGTTGAAGCAAAAACAAAACAAGAAAAATTCAATAACATTTTTCTCGTTAGAATACCAGACAGATGCGAGTGTGTGTCAGTGTGTGTGTGTGTCTGTATTGGCCATTAGGTATCATTTGGAAATTATCAAAATTCAACACAATTTAGGCTGGAGTTGCCACAGAGAGGGAGAGAGAGAAGGAGAACGAGAGCTTATCATTTTTGACCACTACAAATGAAAATAGAGAGTGGTTGTTTACAGTTGTCTCTCTTTGAAATAATTGGAATGTGTTTTGCAACGTAAGAATGAAATGTAATTTTGTTGTGCTATCCCCATCTCCCCTCTCCCCATTTCCGACACACCATTCTCTGGCCGTGGACACCAACACAATTGTTAGCATAACATTCTACTATCATTAATCTGTTATGCCCTTGGGGTATTTAATCTTTAAAATAGGAAATTCCTAGATTTTATAGATGGTAGCTTAAAGAGGCTGAGATTTTCCAATTGGGGGAAAAGGGATTTATAACAATTTTGGAAATGGAAATTTTGAAAATTTCAAGGATTAATAAAAGTGGTTATTGAAGAGAACATATTTTCCAATGACCAGAACAATCGAGAATTTTTAAAGGTCATTATTTTTCAAAATTTGGATTTTTATAAAAAATATTTTTCAACTACACTGTGCAACACAAAAAATAATTACGGGAATAATTCTAGAATATTATAAAAGTAGAGTTAAGAAAATGAAGGCACGTGAATCGGCGTTTTAAAAATTTACATGGAAAAGTAACCAAAAATTACTTCAAACCTTTCATAAATTGGATTTTTTATAAATATTTTCTAACTACACTGTGCGACAAAAAAAAAAAAAAACAAGTAAAACAACTGTAAATTCGGCAGAACCGCACTTTGAATAACCTCCAACATTAGGAAGAAATTTGGCGATTTAAAAAAATAATAAAATCCGTTAATTTTTTTTTAATCTTAAAGATACCGAATATAGCCGTTATATTGGGGACTATACGAAGATGTGGACCTGCACAAACAGTTTTCTGTCATAGGCTGTAGTTCCCACTACGAACTTCAAATACCAAATATGAAACAATTCCGGTTAATAATGTCTCTAAAATCATCGAAATACCGAATATCGGGAGGTACCATTATGTGGGGGCTATACGAAGACGTGGACCTACATGGCTCATTTTTGTATTAGGTTGTAGTATTCATTACGAACTTCGAATACCAAATTTGAAACAATTCAGGTCAATAATGTCGCTAAAATCATCAAAATACCGAATATCGGGAGGTAGCGTTATATGAGGGCTATATGAAGACCTGGACTTTCATAGGCAATTTTCCGTTACAGACTTTAGCTCCCATTACGAACTTCAAATACCAATTTTGTAGCAATTCCGGTGAATAATGTCGCTAAAATCACCAAAATACCGAGTATCGGAAGGTACCATTATATGGGTGGCTATACGAAGACGTGGACCTACATGGTCCATTTTTTGTTTTAGGATGAAGTATCCATTACGAACTTTAAATACAAAATTTAAAACAATTCCGGTGAATAATGTAGCTAGAATCATCAAAATATCGAATATCGGAAGGTACTATTATAGGGGTGCTATACGAAGACCTGGACCTGCACAGACAATTTTTGATCTTAGGCTGTAGTATCTATTTCAAACTTCAAATACCAAATTTGAAAGGATTCCGGTGAATAGTCACGCTAAAATCATCAAAATATCGAATATCGGGAGGTACTATAATATAGGGGCTATACGAAGACCTGGACCTGCACATACAATTTTCTGTCATAAGCTATAGCATTCATTACGAACTTCAAATACCAAATTTGATATAATTCCGATGAATATTGTCGCTAAAATCATCAAGGTACTGAATATCGGGAGGTACCCTTATATGGGGGCTTTACGAAGACGTGAACCTGCACAGACAATTTTCTGGCATAGACTTTAGTATCCATTACGAACTTCAAATACTAAATTTTAAATAGTTCCGGTAGGTAATGCCGATAAAATCATCAAAATACCGAATATCGGGAGGTACCGTTATATGGGGGATATATGAAGACGTGGACCTGCATAGGCAAATTTCTGTCATAGAATGTAGTATCCATTATAAACTTCGAATACCAAATTTGAAACAATTCCGGTAAATAATGTCGGTAAAATCATCAAAATACCGAATATCGGGAGGTACTATTATATGGGGGCTTTACGAAGACGTGGACCTGCACAGACAATTTTCTGGCATAGGCTTTAGCATCCATTACGAACTTTAAATACCAAATTTGAAAAAATTCCGGTGAGTAATGTCGCTAAAATCATAGAAATGCCGAATATCGGAAGGTACCATTATATAGGGGCTATACCAAAACGTGGACCTACATCACCCATTTTCAATGCCAAAAGTCCTGCAGACTTAATACACATTTGAGTAAAATTTTATCAACCTACTTCATTTCGTTCGGAAGCTAGAGTGATTTCCACCGATGGACGGACGGATAGACGGACAGACGGACATTGATAAATCGACATAAAATTTTATGCTAATCAAGAATATATATACTTTGTGGGGTCTAAAATGAATATTTCGAGGTGTTACAAACGGAATAACAAACTTAATATACCCTCCATACTATGGTGGAGGGTATAAAAATGAATGGAGCTCGAGTTAAAGCCATTGAAATTCCAAAAAGTGCGATTGGGCAAAAGTTGTGAACTGCCGAATTTGGTTTTATCTCAACCTATATACCTAAAATGCAAGGATTTCAAGGAATCTTAATCGGAGAATTTTCAAGGATGAGTTCAGAAACTTTCCACCTCTGCTGGATATTCCCCGTAATTATTGAAAAAATTGATTTTTTCCCCAGTGTTTTTAGCTAACCAGGATTTAAAAAAAAAATATTTTTTTTCATTTACCAATAAACCTAGATTTTAAAAAAAATATTTTCAAAAACACAGGATATGGATATTAAAAAAAAATATTTACTTTCCAAGGATCATTAAATTTGAGAATTTTTTATTATTTTTATTTAAAAGAACTAATCCTTATTGTGGCGTTAATCCTCAATCATGAATATTGCTTCCATTTCCAATAATTTCTAAAAATAAATAAATCTCTTGTCATTGAAACCTCCGCTAACTACTTAACACCTCAACAGTGGAAAATAATTGTTTGACTGACATTCATTTAATTTAGAGACGGTATTGCAGTCATATATAACACCGCCGCTCCGAATCCCCTCAGCAAGCCAAGGCATTCCATGGCTTTGTTTAAGGAAATATATATCTATAATGCCATACAAACACCACCTTCAAATACCTCTCCCCACCTCACCATTAAGAGTAATTTGGCATTTCCTGAAATCATAACTTTAACATTTTGCCCCCCTCCGCCGCAGGCTTTACCAACCAACCATCAACAATGCCCTCTCTCTCAGACATTAAGAACAAAAAGGTATATTGCTGTATATTTTGTTTCCCCCCGTTATTGCCATGATTATTTTCCATTATTTGTTTCAGGACAAACTCTCACTTACCTCAGGCTCATTGCCATCCGATACCAAATTACGGGCACTCCAGCCATCCGAACCAATCCACGAAAACGCCCCAGTGGCATTGTTGCGACGCACAGCTCGCATAACTTCACGTACTTCCTGATCGGATCCAAATATTATGGCACCTGTTTAACAGAAAGAGTTGGGAGAAAGAGAGGGAGAAAAGAGAGAGAGAGAGAGAAGGTGGTTAGAGAACAATGTTTAAATACTACACAATACCAAAAAGAAAGGGGTTTGAGTTTAAATCAAACATTGAAACTTAATGAGTGAGCACAGCACAAAAGGTGTTCGACCAAATCAAATTTATGGCGGCTAAGAGGTGTGGGGTTGGGTGCTCTGATGTGTGGGGTGCGTGTTGAGAGCTGTTGTGTCCCGCTAAAAGTTATAGCCATTATAATAATGAATAAAACGGAAATAAAGTATTTTGGTGTTAAACATTTTTCACAAAGAAAACAATGGATGGACAGTGATTAAGTTTTGATGGTGCTGGAGAATTGAGGTATTGAGGGTCATTTGAAAACATATTTTTTCAAGGACCAAAAAAAACCAAGAAACATGAATTTTTTAAAGAATAATTTGTAAAGGACATCAAGACCAAAAAATGTGGATTTTTTAAAGAATATTTTACCAAGGATCTTAAGGCCAATAAACGTGGATTTTTTAGAGAATGCTTTTTTGGGAAGGATCTCAAGGCCAACAAATGTGAAATATTTTTTCAAGGATCAAAGGAGCAATAAACGAGGATTTTTTTAAGAATATTTTTTTCGTGGACCAGAGGACCCAGAAATGTGGATTTTTTAAAGAATATTATTTTAAGGACCAAAAAACTTTGATTTTTTAAATAATATTTTTTTCCAAGGACCAATAAACGTAGATTTTTTAAAGAATATTTTTTTAAAGGACCAAGAAACGTGGATTTTTTAAAGAAGACTTTTTTCAAGGACCAAATGACCAAGAAACGTTTATTTTTTAAAGAATATTTTTCAAGGACCAAAGGACCCAGAAACGTGGATTTTTTAAAGAATATTTTTTCAAGGAGCAAAGAACCAAGAAACTTGGTTTTTTTAAATAATATTTTTTCAGGGATCTCAAGATCAATAAACGTTGATTTATTTCAAAGGTCTCAAGTCTAATAAAAGTAGATTTTTTAAAGATTATTTTTTAAGGAATATTTTCTCAACGATCTCAAGGCCAATAAACCTGGATTTATTTCAAAGGTCTCAAGTGTATTAAACGTGGATCTTTTAAAGATTAGTTTTTAAGAGTATTTATTAAAGGATCTAAACGTGGATTTTTTCACAGAATATTTTTTTAAGGACATCAAGACCAACAAACATGAATTTCTCACAGAATATTTTTTCAAGGACTTCAGACCAACAAACGTGGATTTTTCACAGAATATTTTGTCATGGATTAAAAAAAAAAAGAATAAATTACTTAGATACAAACAAACGTGGATTATTTACAGAATATTTTTAAGGTCCTCATGACCAACAAACGTGAATTTTTTATAGAATATTTTTTCATGGACTTTAAAAAAAAATCAAGGATGTAGAGATCACCAAAAGTAGATTTTTAAAAGAATATGTTTAAGGTTCTCAGGACCAACGAACGAGGATTTTTACAGAATTTTTTTTCATGGATTTTAAAATAATTTTGTTCAAGGACCTCAAGAACAACAAACATGGATTTTTAACAGATTATTTTATCAAGGATTTTTAAATAATTTTTGTCAAGGACTCTCAAGACGTTAATTTTTATTATCTTTTTAAAGGATTTTCCAATAATTTTTTCAAGGACGTCAAGACCAAAAAATGTGGATTTTTTACAGAATATTTTATCAAAGATTTGTAAATAATTTTTTTCAAGGACAAGGACGTTAATTTTTTAATAATTTTTTCAAAGATTTTTTAATATTTATTAAGGATCTGCTAAGGCATGGTTCTTATTTTTTTTCAAGGACCTATTCTGTGGCGTGGATTTTAAATGATTTTTTTTTCAAGGACTTCTGAGGCGTGGATTTTTAAAATATTTTATTTGAAGGACTTCTGAGGCATGGATTTTTTAAATATTTTATTTGAAGGACTTCTGAGGCATGGATTTTTTAAATATTTTTTTTCAAGTACCTTCTAAGGCGTGGTTTTTTTAAATAATTTTTTTAATGACTTCCGAGGCGTGGATTTTTTTAAGGACTTCTGAGGCGTGTATTGCTTAATTTTTTGTTCTGTGGCGCGAAGATCTGAATATTTTTTTTTTTTTTCAAGAACTTCTGAGGCTTGGATTTTTCAAATAGTTTTTTCAAAGACCATCTAAGGCGTGGTTTTAAAAGAATCTAAAGTGGATTTTTTAAATAATTTTTTAAAGGACCTCTGAGGCGTAGATTGTTTCAATATTTTTTTAAAGGACCTCTGAGGCGTGGATTGTTTAAATAACTTCTTTCATGGACCCAACTTCTTTCAAGGACCTCCTTTTCCAAGGACCACCTTAGGCGTGGATTTTTTAAAAAATATTTTCCAAAGACCACCTTAGGCGTGGATTTTTTAAAAAATATTTTCCAAGGACTACCTTAGTCGTGGATTTTTTAAAAAATATTTTCCAAGGACCACCTTAGGCGTGGATTTTTTAAAAAATATTTTCCAAGGAACACCTCACGCGTGAACTTTTTAAATAAAATTTTTTCAAGGATCACCTCAGGCGTGGATTTTTTAAATAAAATTTTTTCAAGGACCACCTCTGGCGTGGATTTTTTAAAAAATATTTTCCAAGGACAATCTCAGGCGTGGATTTTTAAAAAAAAATTTTCAAGGACCACATCAGGCGTGGATTTTTTAAAAAAAATTTTTCAAGGACCACATCAGGCGTGGATTTTTTAAAAAAATATTTTACAAGGACAATCTCAGTCGTGGATTTTTTTAAAAAATATTTTCCAAGGACAATCTCAGGCGTGGATTTTTTAAAAAAAAATTTTTCAAGGACCACCTCAGGCATGGATTTTTTAAAAAATATTTTCCAAGGACAATTTCAGTCGTGGATTTTTTAAAAAAATATTTTCCAAGGACCACTTTTGGCTTTGATTTTGTAAAGAATATTTTTTCAAGGACTTCTTAGGTGAGGATTTTTAAATACTTTTTTTCAAGGACTGTGGAGTTTTTAATTTTTTTTAAAGACCATTTAAGGCTTGGAGTTTTTAATTTTTTTTAAAGACCATTTAAGGCTTGGAATTTTTAAATATTTTTTTTAAGAACTTCTAAGGCGTGGATTTTTTAAATATTTTTTTAAGGACCTTCTAAGGCGTGGATTTTTTAAATATTTTTTAAGGACCTTCTAAGGCGTGGATTTTTTAAATATTTTTTTAAGGACCTTCTAAGGCATGGATTTTTTTAAATATTTTTTTAAGGACCTTCTAAGGCGTGGATTTTTTAAATTAATTTATTCAAAGACTTCTGAGGCTTGGGTTTTTTTTTTTAATTTTCATTTCAAGGGCTTCGGAGGCGTGGATTTTCAAAACATATTTTTTTCAAGGACTTCTGAAAGTGGATTTTCAAAAAATATTTTTTTCAAGGACTTCTGATGCGTGGATTTTTTAAATATTTTTTTCAAGGTCTTCCGAGGCGTGGATTTTTTAAATAATTTTTTTCAAGGTCTTCCGAGGCGTGGATTTTTTAAATAGTTTTTTCAAAGACTTCTGAGGCTTGAATTTGTTTTAAATAATTTTTTCAAAGACTTCTGAGGCGTGGATTTTCAAATAATATTTTTTTCAAGGACTTCTGAGGCCTGGATTTTTTTAAATTAATTGTTTTCAAAGACTTCTGAGGCGTGGGTTTTTTTTTTACCAATTTTTTCAAAGACTTCTGAGGCGTGGGTTTTTTAACTAATTTTCTTTCTTAGGACTTCGGAGGCGTGGATTTTGAAATAATATTTTTTCAAGGACCTGTTAAGGCATGTATATTTTAAATAATTATTTCAAGGACCTGTTAAGGCATGTATTTTTTAAATAATTACTTCAAGGATCTTCTGAGGCGTGGATTTTCCACTGATATAGTTTTTTCAAGGACCTGCTATCGCATGGATTTTTCAAATAATATTTTTTTCAAGGACCTATTAAAGCATAGATTTTTTTATAATTATTTCAAAGACATTTAAAGGCGTAGATTTTCCATATATTTTTTTAAAGACTTCGGACTCTTGGATTTTTAAAATGATTTTGTTTCAAGGCCCGCCTGAGGCGTGGATTTTTTAAATATTGTTTTTTTTTTCATTTTTTTCTTTTCTCTCTTATTTTCCTACCTCATTATATTCAAACTTTTCATTTGTATTTTTATGGCTTTCCATTCACAGAACCATTGTTGTAGGCCAAAGGACCTCACCATATCCTTCCTTCCCTCTCACTCTCAACTTGTTTTTTTTTTCATTGCCCCTCAAGTTTTGGCAAATGCACAGCTTTCAATAACTTTACACTGGCCAAAAAGTTTTCAAAAGAATTTTTAATGAATTCGCTTAGAGAAAAGTTCTGCGACTTGGCCGACATTAGAGCCAAAAATAATGGAACTAATTTATCAAAGTTGAAATTTTTGTTTGGAGGAAAATTTTCACTGGTTGGTGGTTCAGTGAAATGGTGGCGGTTAAAACGGCGAATTTGACAAGTTGCCAGTTTTTTCGGGAGAGGAGTATTGGAATATCAAATTTCCTCTAAGTATGTGTCTTTGGCCATATATTAATTGACCACAGACGTGTGGTTTTGAAAAATGGTGATAGATAAATTGAGAGTATTATGTTTGGGAGACTTGGGGAGGGGTAGGGAGTATAAGTTCTAAGATGGAGGAAATTAAAAAAAATATGTGAATTTTTTTATGATGAAAATTCCTCATAATCCCTGTGGCTGTTAGAAGATATATGGGTGGTTGAACTTTGACCTCAAAACTAATTTCTAATTATTTCGAATATTTTATTAAAATTTATTAAAAGAGATATGTTCCTTGTCTCTTTTTGTCTCCACAAAAAAATTTATTAAAATCCGCCATCTGTGCGGTCGCATTGCCACGAATCTAGTTTGGTTTCCATGGAAACAATCGCTCCACAAAGTGAAAGTGAATTCATGTCCGGCAAAAATAAATAAAACCGAAAT